TCCTCCTCCTCCTCCATCCTCCTGATCGATAACTCTTCCCTGTCCCACCCCGAGGCCATTCGAAAGGGTGTGCAGGGCGCTTCGCCGGAGACTTACCCACCATGTATGACAGTTTCACAGACGGAGGTCGGCCCGCTTCCAAAATGTGGCTCGCGCCTTCGCGCCGCGCACATCCGTTGTACACATGTGCAGGAGCCTGAAGGATTGAGGGCTGGCTGTTTTCAAAGCGTGGCTCTCGCCGTTTCGCCGCGCACATTCGAGTTTGAACGTGGCGCCTACTCGTTGTTGAACATGGTGGGAGCTTCACAGATTGAGGGCGGGTCGTTTTAAAAGTGTGGCGCTCGCCGTAGCGTTTCGCCCATTCGTCTCAAGAATTGCAAGCTCTTCACGGAGTGAGGGCAGTTCCTTTTCACAATGTGGCCCTCGCCTTTGCGCCACGCACATCCGTTGTATAGCATTGCTGGTGTGCGGACCGATTCAGGATTGTCAGGGCCTTCAGTTATGTTGATTCGGAATGCTGAAGACCCAGCTACGGCGTTCTGGCACGATTCAGGAACGCCAAGACGTAACTGTCAGGCTAACTCGTGGCACTGAAGTTCTGAGAATGGTGGTTTGGCACGCCTCAAGATTTTCACACTGCTGTCCCCCAGCGTGGCAAGCCCCTCAACGGAAGTGAACCCTTGTAGGGGCCCATGAAGAGGGAGCTTGGAGGGAGGGTGTATTCCAACACCGTTGATGAGTCTTGCGTTTACACTGGTCCTCCTCCTACCCATCCTCCTCATCCTCCTCCTTCTGCCCCTCCCCCTCCCCCCCCCCCTCTCCCCCTCTCCCCCTCTCCCCCTCCTCTCTCCGACGCCCGTCCCATCTTCCGAGCTTGTGGAAGGGCCATCAGTTTGTCGTCGTGGTCGTCGTCGTGGTCGTCGTCGTCGTCCTTCTGGGTCGGCCTCACCGGCCGTAAGGCCTTCACAAGACGACCGATTCGCGCTCCCGAGGCCCAGATGCCTCCAAGACGGGCCACTGTCGCTCCAAGACGGGCCACTTTGGCCTCAAGGCGGCTCAAGATAGCTTGAAGACGGCCCACGGGGCCTTGAAGGCGTCCCAAGAGAGCCCCACGAACCTTCTCTAGTGGGCCTCGAGAGACAACAATCATGTATCATTACGAGGTATTACAATGTGTTTATGTTTCTCACCTTTTGGAGCTTCATACATCCAAAGTCGACCAAGCATGAGGCCTCCAGGACTGCCTGCAGACGGCCCCAAAGGGGCCCCAAGAGGGCCCCAAGAGGGCTCCAAGAAGGCTCCAAGACGGCCGAAGAGGCGCCCAATAATGTCCAAGACAGTCCCATCACGGCCCAAGAATGTCCAATTCGAACCTTCCGCCCCGAAAGGGCCCAGGAGCCCCAAAGAAAGCCAAAAGAGGCCCCGAAGAGGGCCGCGAGAGGCAAAACCATTCAGTTTCCAGAACTTTGTCCAATGTTGTCTGGGTTCTCGCCTTTTCGAGCTTCCGACACTCTAAGACAGCCCAATAAGCCCTGAAGACTCCCCCGAGACGGCTGCAGAGGCACTACGAGAGCTCCAAGACGGCCAAAGAGGGCTCCAACACGGCCCACGAGGCGCCCAAGACTGCCCGAGAGGGCCCTAAGAAGGCCCCAGGAAGAACACAAGAATCCGAGCACGAAACAAGCAGCCGGGCATGCTGCTGCAAGAGGCCCCCGGCAGGCCCCCTTGCCTTCTCGAATCGTTGGGGCCCAGACTGCTGCGCTGGCACGGTGGCGGACTGACCGCAGGCAGCTGGATGCAACAGAAGAGATCAGCGGGAGCTGAGCAGGGAGCTGAGCAGGGGACGATGCATCTGAAGGGGCCCCAGCACACACAAATAAATACACACAAATAAAAGGATTCCCCATATTTTCCCATATTTTCTGGGTTTTTGTCTTCCCCACCACTTCCCATATTTTCCCATATTTTCTGGGAATCGCCGATTAATTGTGTCTGTGTGTTTTTTCCCCTCCTGAGCATCAGCGATGCGACGCCGTCCTCCGACCCCACCTGATCGGACCACCTCTGGGAGGCCTACGAGGCGGCGGGGGGGAGAGGGGGCAGGACTCCCCGTCGCTCGGACGCCCGTTTCCCGTGCACTTTTCGGTTTCGTGCGTGTTTTTTTTGTTCGATGGTCCAGGATGGTTTTTTTTTTCTCGTTTCGTGCGTGTTTTTGTTTATTTGTCGTGCGTGTTTTTTTGTTTTTTTTTGGCCGAGGAAAAATGCACACGTCCGAGCGATGCCAAGGAGGAGGAGGAGGGAGCCGGGAAGGAGCAGCGAGGAGAGACTGCGCCGACTCCTGCCCCCTCCGGCCGGAGACGCGCGGCAGGCGCGCGCCCGGAGCGCAGGCGGCCTCTCGCTGCTGCTCCCGGAGCCTCTTCTCGTACCGCTCCTTGTCCGCCCGCAGGGTCCTCGGCGCGGGCGGGGGGGGAGGAGGAGGAGGAGGAGGAGGAGGAGGAGGAGGAGGAGGAGGAGGAGGAGGAGGAGGAGGGGAGGAGGAGGAGGAGGAGGAGGAGGAGGAGGAGGAGGAGAAGGAGGAGGAGGAGGAGGAGGAAAGAAGAAAGGGAGGAGAGACGAGGCGAGGCCAATGCTATGGAGGAGGGGGGGATGAGGATGACTGCTAGAGGTCATGGGCCTCCCTTGGAGAGGAAGGAGGAACAGGAGGAGGAGGAGGCGGCGGAGGAACAGGAAGCCGAGGAGCAGGAGGAGGAACGAGCAGGGCGGGAGGAGAAGAGGTCTCCCTCCCGCCTCCGTCCCCTGCCCGCCTCCCTCCTCGCCCTGCCCCCCCCCCCGCGCTCCCGCCCGCTCCCGCGCGCGCGGGGGGGGAAGGAGGTAAGGGCACGCTCCAAGCTGCTACGAAACTGGAACTGGCGCTCGGCATGGGCCGAGGCTTGCAGGTAAAGCGAAAGCCTCCCCCATTGCTCCTCCTCCTCTTCCTCCTCCTCCTCCTCCCAAGTTAAACAATATGAATACTACTCTCCTCTCCCCTGGTGGCGTCCAATGAATGTCCGGCGCCCCTCCGCGTACTGGATTTTTTACACACCGTACTTCCGGGATCTGGGTTTTCGATGTTTTTTTTGTTGAAATGCTGCTCACGCTTAAGCGCTGGCTTCATTTTCGGGCTACCGCTCGATCCGAATCGTGCTCCCGATGCAACGCTGGCCTCACTTCAGCGCTTCCGCTCGTTCCGAATCGTGCTCCCGCTACAGCGCTGGCGTCATTATTTCGAACGCCATGCCCCGGCATGGTTGTCGGTCCGTCCAAATAGGCCCCAAAATGTAGAACATGGACCCCAGCAGAAACCATCGGAAGTGATTACATACTCGGTGCCGATTCGTTGATTTGGCCGCAGAAGCCCACGCACGCCCGCGTCGTGGCGTCGCCACGCCATGCTATGGCAAGCTACGCGCCCTCATTTCTGTGCTTCCGCGCTTGTTCTTCAAAATGCAGTTCTCGCTGAGGCGCTGGCCTCATGTTCGGGCTACCACTCGTTCCGAATCGTGCTCCAGCTGCAACGCTGGCCTCGTTTCCGCGCTTCCGCTCGTTCCGAATCGTGTTCCAGCTACAGCGCAGGCGCCATTATTTCGAGCGCCATGCCCTGGCATAGTTTTCGGTCCTTCCAACTACCCAAACTTAAACAATAGACTCCAGAAGAAACCATAGGAAGTGATTACACATTCGGTGACGATTCGATGACTTCTTGGACCGCAGAAGCCACCGCCCCTTGGGGCGTCGCCACGCCATGCTATGCCATGCTACGCGTTGATCTTTGACACCATGCTATGCCATGTAATCCTATGCTACGACATCCGACTGCGCGAAAGAGGATATCTACGTCATGGTAAGGGATGGGAGGGAGGGGAAGACGTCAGATGTGATGCGAGTGCACCTAGCTTGTCATCCTCCCCCTCCCCCTCCACCTCCCCCTCCTCCTCCCCCTCCCCCTCCTCCTCCTCCTCCTCCTCCTCGTCCCTCATCCTCCTCCTCATAAGCCAAAGCGGAGGCTGCAGCAGGCAAAGCCAGCGGCCCACCGCGGAGCTTCATGGCCGACGGGAGCGCTCGGTCTGCGCTCTGGCGGCCACCGGGAAAAAAACAAAAAAACGACGCTAAAAAGCGTATGTTGCTCTCTCTCTCTCTCTCGCACTTAAGGACCACATCCCCAAAAATAATTACGAGCACCCAGACAAGTGTCGAAACAGTCTCGAAAGAGTCGGACGAGTGTATCCCAGGGCCCGATGAAACCATTACAATTTCGGTACTGTTCTGGTGCTCGGAATTCTTTATGGCGTTCAAATCTAAAGTAGTTTGGAACATCATGACCCGAGGGCAGTCCAAGATGGTGGCGGGGTGCAGGGACGAAGGGAAGAGAGGGATGGGGGGAGCAACCCCGCGAGGTCTCTCCGGGCCCCCCTCCCAATACCTGACAATTGATTATGTTCCAGACGGCGGCCACGACGAAAAACAACTCGACGGGAAAGGTACGGACTTTTACTTACTGCAAAGCTTGCACGAACAAGCATGGGATTCCTCTCTCGTGCAGAGTCGCCCAGGGGATGTTACCCGCCTGGATCATCAACCACCCAACCAAATCCAACACGGCGATTACTAGTGGAGAAGTACTTCCCGGTTGGGGGGAAGAGGAGGGGGAAAAAGATGACGAATCGAATGAGGAGCACGATGAGGAGGAACGAGCCAGAGCGAGCTAGAACGGAGGAACCGGACAAAGGGGGGATGAGGAGCAGGAGGAGGAGGGAGAGGAAGAGAAGGAAGAGGAGGAAGGGGAGGAGGAGGAGGAGGAGGAGGAAAGCAACAAGGACAGGGCGAACTGGGGGACGCGCAGAGCTCATTGCCAGGCAAGAGCCCTGCAAGGGAAGGGGGGGCGGCAGGATTAAAGACCTATTGAGGTGAGTAGGAGAAGGAAAGGATAGAAGGACGGGGGAGGAGCACATTCGACTGTTCAGAGGGGGCGGGGACACCAACGGTTCATCGTCGCCATGAATTGGTCCGTCTCGAAGTCCAAATCAGAACGCTCTTTTGGAAAGAAACCAGGGTCGATTTGGAGGAGGGGAACGCGGTTGAAGGCTCAAGGGGATGTGGAGCATTTTACGAGCACCTCAGCTCTTGTGGAGGTTGTGGGCCGCCTCCATGGGGGAGAAGCCAAAACCGCAGCAGGGTGGAGAGGGAGGAGGAGGAAATTCGTGAGGAGGAGGAGGAGGAGGAGGAGGAGGAGGAGGAGAAGAAAGAGGAGCAGGTGGGAAGAGAAAGAGGAGCGACGGAGAGACCATCTCCCCCCCCACCCCATCTAAGCAAGCGGAGGAGGAGAAGAGGGGCGCGAGAGGGAATGAGGAGGAGGAGGAGGAGGAGGAGGAGGAGGAGGAGGAGGAGGAGGAGGAGGAGGAGAGGGGAGAGGGGGGTGTCCTCAGCGACTCGCTGCAGTCCTCGGCGATCTGGACGACGCGGGCCTGGCGGCGGGCAGCCGCCGACCGTCGCCCCTCGACTGCGGCGGGTGGGGAGGAGCGTCAGGGAGGGCGACCCGGAGATCCGGCCGCTCCAATCTTTTTGATGCTCGATGCGTGAGTCCCCAAAGGTCTGGACCTACGAGACCGATGTTGCATCACAGCAGCAATTCGGCCCCCGCCTTTCGTCCTGGGTTCAGTTTAAGTGAAGTGATGAAGTTTGGGGTCCTTACGTGGGGAAAAACACCACTTCACGAATCTGGGCCCCCTGGGGCCTCAGTGGGCCCTGGGGCCCAAAATTAGTGAAGTCATGGCTCTCGGGCCTCGGAGGACCGCTTCCCCGAGGCCGGCTCCCGTCGACCCGAGCCGCTCGCGGACGCCCCCGAGGCCCGGAAGGGGGCCTTGGGAGGCCGCAGCGCGGGCAGCCGCCTGCCGCTCTCCCGTGGTTCTGCCGGAGCGTCGGAGCTCGGAGGGGGGCGAGGGCGAGAAGGGGTAGGGGGGCGGAGGGGTAGGGGGGCGGAGGGGAGGGGGGGCGAGGCGAGGCGGGGCGAGGCGGGGCGGGGCGAGGGCGAGGAGGGGCAGGGGGGCGGAGGGGAGGGGAGGGGCGGCGAGGGGCGGCGAGGCTTCGGCAGGAGGCCGGCGCGACCAGGGCGCGGCCGCACCACGAGGGGGGCCCTGCGGTGCCTCTTCGCACGGCCCTGCCCGCCCCCGAGGGCACAGGGTGGGAAAACGTGGGCTCTCTGTGGAACTTCGGACTGCTACCATTCAGTGGCACTTTGCGGCCACCAGCGGCCTGTAGAGGCCGTTTCAGTGGCACTCAGCGGCACCGGGGTGGTCTTCGGCGGCCCCGAACAGTACCATGTAGTGGCGCCTGGCGGCCGCTACTGGCTCCGAGAAGTAGCATGTAGTGGCACTTAGTGGCCGCTAGTGGCTCCAGGAATTACCATTTAGTGGCACTTTGTGGCCGCGAGTGGCTCCGAGAATTAAAATGCCATTCAGCGGCACTTAACAGCCCGAGATCTACCATTTAGTGGCACTTAGTGGCCGTTAGTGGTTCCGGAAACATATAATGGCACTGGGTGGCAGCCGTTAGTGTAGTTAGTGGTTCCGAGAATTACCATTTAGTGGCACTTAGTGGCTGTGTGGCCTCATCTGGGCCACAGGCACGTTAATCAAGGCTCCGTGAAACCACGGGCGCGTGAGTGAGACTCGGGGCCGCAAACGTTCGCGCCGCGAAGTGCCGCTATCTTCATCAAGAAGACCCAATTCGAAGACATTCTACAGTTCCCCAAGTTGGCCACATAAGGTTGGAGAATTCGGGTCGCGGGAGGAGGGAAGAGGGGGGAGGATGGGAAACTTCGGGGGCGAGGAGGGGGAGAATGGGGAGGAGGGAGACAGAGGATGGGGACGAGGAGGCGGGGGAAGGACGAAGGAGGAGCAGTACTAGGAGGAAGGACGTGATGGGTGGGCGAAGAGGAAGTATGAAGTAGGAGGATGTACTGGGACATCGAAGGGGCAGTTAGTAATGCGCAGCAGTTAAGGGAGCTGTTTTCCCCCACGACCTCGGAGCTCTGAGAATCGAGGATCGAGACCTCCACGCAGCCCGCGATCGATAACCCCCGCGGATCCCGAGGATCCAGGCTTGAGGGTCGAGTCGAACCCTCCGCCTCGAGAACCTCCAGAGGATCGAGGACTGATCACCTCCAGGAACCTCCCGATCATCTCCAGCGGGCTTCTAGGACTTCCATTGAGCAGGGACCGACCGTCCTGGCATTCCTATAGTCCTACAGCGAAATGTTCTTAGAACCCACACATGTTCTAAGAACAAGTACAATGTTCTTAGAACATAAACCCGATGTGATAGAACAAGACAGACTCCGCCAGAAATGTTCTAAGAACATTTCGTGTAAACCACAAAAGGTCCTTAGAACATTGTTCGGCAGGGCTATAGGCAAGCCAAGACGCTTCGCCACTGCTTGAGATTGATCATCTCCGGAACCTCCCGATCACCTCCGGCGGGCTTCTAGGACTTCCAGGGTCTCCCGAGAACCTCGGGGGGGGGGCTGAGGAAAAAGACGCCCAAACAACTTCGGGAGGCCGACGACCGAGCTGAACGGAGTAAAGGCACATTCGGCTAGCACCCGTCCTGAGAGCCATCGACTCGAGACAAAGAGAGCCTCCGACAACCTCCTCCCCAGGCGACTTTGTATCAAGAACAACCCAGAGATCCGACAAGACTGAAAAATGACAATATCGTGAAACTCATGCCCGGAGCCTTAGACACATCTTTCTGCATCTTTCATGCTCGGAACACTTAGACTTGATCGATCTGTGAGGATCCTAGGCCCAGAGAAATGCGGAAACGCCCGGCTCGAACAAATCCGGGGATCTTCTGACCCGGGTCAATCCAGACCCGGGTCAGTCAGGCCTTGCAGAATCTTGCAAGATCCTGCACCCAAACCCAGGCCAATGCGTAGGATCCTGCAGGATCCTGCGCCCAAGCCCGGGTCAGTGCGACCCTGGCCCTGCAGGATCCTGCAGGATCGGCCGCTCTGGCTGACCCCCGTTTGCATGGACCCCCGTCCTCTTGAGCCCCGACCTCCCCCTCCCCCTCCGCCCAATGCCAGAACGCCGCACGAGCGAACGCGCACCACAGGGCAGGCCGACCCCTGGCGCTGGCCATCGCTCGGACGTCCATGCCTTGTGTTTTTGTTTTCGGTTTCGTGCGTGGCTTGCTCGCCGAATCATCGAGGATGCTCCTCCATGATCCTCGCCGAAGGAAAAAAACGCACACGTCCGAGCGACGCCACGCCGGCAGGACCACCGCGCCGGAGGCCAGACGGCCAGCGCCCGGGCGTGCCTCCTTGGCCCCTGCAGGCTCGCCGCGGGCCCAGGGAGGCTACCTCTGAGTCGGCCGTGTCCCTCTGGTTTTGTGGGTGCCATGGCAATGAACACTCTAACAATCCGACCATGGGCCTAAACATGCGTTTGAATATGTAAAACATGTTTTACAAATGTTTCAACCATATTATGTACACATCTAAAACATGCTTGAAACATCTTCCTCCCCAATAATCGACTTCTACAACTCTAGTTTTGGAGTCACGGAAGGGTGCGGTGACAGACCGCTTAGACCCCCGACGATTTTTGTTTTACTATTTTCGAGTATTCCCACTGTAGAGGGACAGGCCCGACTGAGAACGCTGGGGGCGTTTTTGTTTGTTTTCCACTTCTGGTGTTGCGGTCGACCAAAGCAAAACAAACACACAACATAATCAAGACGACGCCTGCCGGGGCCAGAACAGCTGAGGCCTCGGGACAGACACATCCTGCTCGATGCTCCTTGGAACGCGGGTTGGCACCAGCGTTAGGTCGGGCACGTCCTCCTACAGGCAGACCCTGGACGAACAAGAAAACAAAATCAAAAGATGCGCAAGGCGAGTGAAACATGCTGAAATAATCGTCCCCAAAGACTACTTGCTGACTGTTCTTGAACATTCCTCCTGTAGAAGGACATGCCCGACTCAACACCAACGTGCGCTTGTCCGCCGAAGTCCTTCCGTCAGAGCCCGGTAGCGCAGTGAGGGGCCGACACCTGCTGCGGGCGCCCAGCATTAGGTTCGGCAATAGCGACTACAGGCGGTCCATCGCCATATCGCGCGAAGAAACTCAAACTCAAAAATCTCTAAGCCAAAACCTGCGAAAATCTCAAATTCTGAAAAAAAACTTCCAACCATCTCTAAGCCGAAACCTGCAAAAATATCAAACTCTAAAAACAAGACGTCAAACTATCTCTAAGCCAAAACCTATATAAAAGAAACAAAAAACTTCCAATAATATTCAAACCAACACCAACAAAGATCTCAAACCCAAGAAATTAAAAAATCTCTAACCCCACACCTGGAATAATTCCACTTACAAAATGATTGAACCCGAACTCTAAAAACACCCTAAACAAAACTATGGAACAACTCTGGGACACTATAACAAAAATCTAAACGCCCCCCACGCCCCCAACCAAAACTAAAGCACCTGCAAACTTTCAAAACAAATGCACAAAACTCTGTGAAAATAACAACTCTGAAAGACTTTCTACAACAACTCTAAACACATGTCTGAACGCCTGACGAATTCCAAAACATCGCAGGGGAAACCCTAACCAAACTGTACATGCAACCCCAGACGCCTAGGAAACTTTAAACCAACACTTTCAAACTCTAAAAGCAATCTGGCCGCCCAACATCAAGCATATGTTGTTCAATCTCTCTGCTCCAAGTTTTTGTTTTCTTTTTCTGGGGTTTCGGTTTCAAGTTTGATTCGGGTTGATATGTTCCCAGGCTTTGGCTTAGAGATTGTTAAAGTTGCTTTTAGGTTTGAGATGTTCGCAAATGTTGGCTTAGAGATGTTTTGAAGTTTTGGGAAGGTTGGCATTCCTGCTGGAGATGTTCCGAAGATGTCGGCCGGTGTTCCCGATGGACCGCCCGCAGTACAATTGCCGAACCCGAGCCCAGCAGAGCAGAGCGATGTCGGCACAGACACCCCAACACACCAACACGCCAACACACACACAGACATTCACATCACGCCAACACACTTGTTTGGTTTCGCGGCCCTGCGCGCAGCGAGAGGGCGGAGAACGTCGTAGAAAAAAACAACGCGCGCGCACCCAGCAGCGGCAGAGCCAACAGAGGCCACTCAGGGTTCCGCAGCAGCCGCCCGCCATGAGTCATCCCGGCATGCACACGTACACGCAGGGCCAGCACACGTCCCGAGGACCATCGACCTTCCGCGGGGCACGGCGAGCAGAGACAGCGGAGGCTCGCAAAACCAGCCCCCACGCATCAGAAGCCACATGCACTTGAGGAGCCTAGTAGTGCCCCAACGACTCCATGACTGTTCGGATCACGATGCAAAGACCTGCAGTCGGACTCGATTGGACAGGACACGCGAGAGGACACAAGACCCGTCCGAGGGCCACGTTGCCACAGGAATGCCAGAAGCCTGGGTCGCGAGACACAGGACACGAGGGTACCCTTGATTTGGCAGGGTCGACCTACTAGTCTGGGCCGACTGTACAGTCGGGGCGTTGACCTAAGGAACCCTGAATAAGGAACGAGGCCCCTTTTTCCCACAAGTTAAACTTCGATTTCCCATAGAAACCCTAAGCAAAACCAAAGGCGAACTGCAAAACAACTAAAGAACACCGAGCCCCTCCCCAACGAAAAGGGTTCCTTCCTCAGGGCCCCGACTGCAGTGGGCGGGACGTCAGCCAATCTCCTGCGAGGCGCCTGTGCGTCTGGCTGCTCACTGCAGATATTGGTGGCTCCAGCGTGCGTTGGTCCCTCTCGGCGGCGGCCCCAGGGCCACCGCCGATCCCGCCGCCGCCAGCTCCATTGAAGGGGCCCTGGGACACACAAATAAATACACACAAATAAAATGCTTCCCCATATTTTCCCATACTTTCTGGGTTTCTGTCTTCCCGCACAATTTCCAGATTTTCCCATATTTTCCTGGGACTCGACGATGAATTGTGTCTGCGTGTTTCTTTCCCTCCTGATCCATCACCATCGTCCATTCCGTGGTGACGCTCGCCACCAGGTCGGCACGGAATGGGTGCTCCCCGCGTTTCCCGAGCTGCGTCCGGCCACGGCGCCGAGGCTCCCCTGAAACCCGAGGTGCCGCTGATGGGCCTGTTTTCCACCACCACCACCATAAGTTGGAGGGGGAGGGGGTCCTCCTCCTCCTCCTCCTCCTCCTCCTCCTCCTCTCTCCTCTCCTCTCTCCTCCTCCTCCCTCCTCTCCTCCTCCTCCTCCTCCCCCTCCTCCTCCTCCTCCTCCCCCTCCAACTTATGGTGGTGGTGGTGGAAAACAGGCCCATCAGCCGCTGCCTGGACGGCGAGCCGAAGGGGGAAGTGAGAGGGGGCAGACCTCCTCGGAGGGCGGCGCCGCTTCTCAGAGAGGCCCTCGCGCCTTCCGACAAGTCTTCGGAGCCTGCCCCGAAGACGCAGCAGGCTTCTGAGAGGGCGCGGGGGGCTCCTCGGAAGCCCCGCCGCCCTCTGGCGAGGGCTGCCCCCTGTTCCGCCCCAGGGGGCTCGCCGCCGATTGCCTCAGCTCGCCTTCCTCAGACTAGAGCAAGTAAAACACCATCTACACATACATCAGGGGGACGTAAGACCTGGGTACAAGGGACTCGGAAATCCCCGACGAGGTCGTCAAAAAAATGACGAGGCCGAGCCTGCATTTTGACGAGGCCTCCCGCTGCAGACAGCCCACGAAACTCCTCCTCGTCAAAATCCGAGGCGCGGTCGTCAAAAAACGATGGCGAACCCGAGTCCTGGCAAACCCGGGTCTTACGCTCCCCCGAATGCAGTCGGACTTCGTTGGACAGGACACGCGAGAGGACACAAGACCCTTCCGAGGGCCACGTTGCCACAGAACTGCAGGAGGCATGGGCCGCAAGACACGGGACAAGAGGGTACCCTTGATCTGGCAGGGTCGACCTGCTAATCCGGGCCGCCTGTAAACTTTTTGAGGTCCGTGCGGATCTCTTGGATTCGTGCCCAGGCCCCCTCCCTGGCGCACGGTGCGCGACAGGGGCGGCGCCGGAGGTGCCACCGGGGGGGCTGGCGCCGAGCAAAGACATCCGCGCGGAGCTCCGACTAATTGTTGTCATGCAACTGTTTTTCTTTGATCCACGGACCAGGGAACGTAACCGCAAAACTCGGGGCCGATGCTGCCTGACTTCGGCGACGGAGCGCTCAGATTCTGCTCGAAAGCGTGACCTGGCCCTGATCCACGCGCCTTGAGAGTCGGAGGTCGACTGCAGCATGGATTTACCGGGAAGTTGATCTTTGCTCCTCGAATCTGCAAGGAGCAGTGAGTCGATGCGCAGAACGCTCGCAGATCGACGATACGTCCGCGCAGTCCCGAGCAGCTCCGACGGAACAGATCCTGGGGTGAGCCAGCTCGGTGGTCGCTCTCCGCTTCGGCATCCGCGCGCTCGCGCTCCCTCGGCTCCGACTTCCCCCTTGGCCCCCCGCCCCCGCGCGCCCGCCCCGCCCCCGCGCGCGCCCCCTCCCCCGGGCCCGCCGCGCGGGAGCGCGCGCGGACCTGCCCCTGCTCCAGCGCGTCGACCCTGTCGCGGCAGTCCGCGAGCTCCTGCGGGCGCGCGGGGCGGGGGGGAGGCCGCGGAGCGCGCACGGAGAGCACCCCTGGTGCGGCGCGTGCTCCCCGGAGGCGCGCGCGCGCGACCGGAGCGTGCAGCACGGCCACGGTGCAGCGCTTCTCGTTTCCCGAGCGGCGTGGCCCGAAAGGGCACGCCACGGCGCTCATGAGATGTCTCGGCGCGCGCGTCGCCCGTTCGGGGGCGGCGCGCACACACTGCAGCAGAGGGCTCGACCACAAAAAGACCTTCCATGAGAAACCCAACCCGGAGACCCCAGGACGTCCGTCCACTGCTGGCGTGGGGACGCCACGCTGTCCCTTGCAAAACCCTCGAAGCCTAGGGCACCCCGGAGGCAAGCACGGTGCGTCTTGACACAAGCCTCCCCCCTGGTATCAGCACCGTGTGAGCGTTGTCGCAGTCGGCGTTTCGAGATTGGGCGGGAAGGGGGGGTGGGGCGGGGTCGGGCTGCGGCCCTCTGCTAAGCGGGACTGTTTGGATGGGTGTTCCAGTGGGGAATCTCATTGGGGTGCCGTCCACCTGCCTGAAACGGGCGCCCAACACAGCCAAAATCTGCTCCATGGGGGGGAGGGGGGGGAGACGAGGGCCCGCGCCGATCGGCAAAACAACAAATGAGAAAACGATCGCCATGGGGCGACGCAAAACCCTCGGCGAGGGGACTCCGTCGATCCGCCGGGATCCTGAAGGCTCAGCCGCGCGCGAGCTAATTCCGCGCTGCTTGCTCGACTTTTGTTCCGCCTTGCCGCCGCGCGCGAGGCCGCGATCGCCCCCCCCAAAAAACTTCGGCGGGGGACTGTAGCTAATGAGAGGTCTTCGTCGGACGGATTAGAAAGAGGATTGAGCCCCGTTGGGGGGTTGTTACGCCGGATTAAGCACGCAGTGGACTCAAAAAGATCGGGCCGGATTGAACGGGACTAAACAGGATTCAACGGGATTCAAGCGGATCGAGCCAGATTCTGGACCAGAGCAAAAAGATAATTGTCTTCCCAGGAGCTGCATCCGCGTCTGTGGGCTCGCTATCTACCGAGCACCTCGCGCTGTAATCACATTCGATCCTGGCGAAAAATCCAGCCACATGCAAGATAGGCAAACAGGCAAGCGTGAGTACCGCAAGGCAGGTGAGACGAAGGAAGGGGGAACCCCCTGTGGGGCCACGAACCGCGCGAGAGGGGGCGCCGAAAATGGCGGGGGGGGATGCATGTGAACCCTGGTGCAGGAGCCTTCGGTCCATGTGCCTGCGGTTAGTTCTTTGCTGGAATTGACACGCGAAGGGCAGAGGCACGGATGGGATGCGAGGCTACACGAGGCGAAAGCCGATATCCGCAACCTCGCTGACGCGCGGCCGCGCGCCTTGGAAGCGTCGGCGGTGGGGCCATTTCCCTTCAGATGATGACGATCTCGTTTTGGAATCAGTCCGGAACCGATATGGAGCCATGGAAAGGGATAGTTTTAGGTCGGGCATGTCCTGCTGCAGGCGGATTTTCGAAGAGTGGCGAGCAATAGTCAAAACATATTCATGAATCCTTTTTTTTTTCAGAAGGGGACGATGCGCAACGCCGTAATCCAGTCCAGTCCGGCTCGGGATCCAGGAAAAAAACTCGATGCGGCCCCCGCCGTGCCCGTGGGTCCAGCTAACAACACCGTGCCCGCGTGGAAGCTGCGCCGTACACTCGGCCCGGGGAACGTTTTATCTGGGAGGCTCGTTCTTCCGCCAGTGCCGTTGAGAGGCCAGCGCGCGAGACGAGGGGCGCAGGCGCCGGCCACCATATCATTTGGGAGCAGCATAGAGAAAGAGAGAGAGAGAGAGAGAGAGAGCAGGGTGTTACGCGGGTGGGGGGCTAGAGCATTGATTGCCACAGACGGTGGGCGGCCATTAGACGGGGTGCACATGCAGACCCGCGTGGGAGTATTGCAATGTATCCAACCCCCTCAAGGCCAGAGAAATTTCTAATCTAGAAGGCTCATTCTTCCGCCTGTACCGTTGGAAAGGCCAGCGGGCCACGGGCGCCAGGGCGAGAGAGAGAGAGAGAGAGGCACTGGCGTCGGCCACCAGATCCACGTTGACAGAGGACGGCCATGACTACTGGTCCTCTGGCCCGAAGGGCCGCGTGAATATAAAAAACGATACTTGCATTACCAAATGTGGCGAGACATGCCCTTGGCCTTCAGCGACAAGGGCATCGGAGAAGGCACAGGCCAAGGCGCGACAGAGCCGAGGAGGGTAGAGGTCCACAAACGACCATCCGAGCTTTTACTCTGGAGGTTTTGGCGCGACCGCTGGAGGGCCGAGCACGGATTGTTCATTGCGTTTGCAAAGCCTGTTTACCTAGGTCAGTTTGATCAGGGCGCCCAACACTTTCGCGCGTTTCCACCAGGGCGCCCCGAAATGGCACGCATCGGTTGAAGCCATCTGGGAACAGGAGTCGCGAGCGAGAGGCAGAAACGCGGGGGCCAGCCATATCCCACGAGTGGCTGGGTTCTCCATCGGCCCAGAGACTCGCGCCCTTCTGCACGCGTGGAGGCACGAGACAGTGAACGCCATCAACGTGTTATCTTCATCAACGCGCGACTGATCTTTCTCCGACAGCCCCATCGAGCCCCATCACATGATCGGTCGATCTCAGTGGCAGGGGTCCTGGAATGTCGCGCGCGCGAGGCCAGCGCGAGCAGGGGGCGCCGAAATGCACGAAAAACATGGCCCGTCCCAGTATCCATCCTCGACTCAGTGGGCGCTTGTCGGGTCAGGTCGCGCTGATCATCGCACGCAAGAAAAGTACAGGCCAGGATATGGAAATTCCTCGATGCCACAGCGCGCCCATGTCGAGCCGCGCCAGCAAACACTCCCAGAAAATCGCGCAGTCTCAAAGGCCGCGGAACCGCGCGGCTGCAGCGATGCGTAGAGCGCCGCGGGGAGGTACTTGAGGTACCATCGCCCGTGCGTCTGGAGGCTCATCGGCAGCTCGGCGCACTCGCTGCCGAGGCAGCCGCCCTTCTCGCGTCTCGCCACGTTGGCCCCCGTGCGCCAGCGCCCACGAGGGAGCGCCGCTGCTCGGCGAAGTCGCGGCTCGCGCCCGGGCGCCTCAGGATGCGCGGCGGCAAGGGCCGCTGAAACAATAGCCGGGCGCCAGCTATCATGAGGCAGCGCGCGAAGGGCCTGGCTGAAAGAGAACAGCGGCCCCTGAGGCCCGCGGCCCTCGAGCAGCGACTCGTCGAACTCCCCCGTCTTGCATGGCCGGCTGGCCTCGTCCTCCAACGGGTGGAGGACTAGTCGCACGGCGCCGCGGTGGACAGCGAGTCTTCGCGCGCCGCGCACCCCGAAGCTCCTCGAGGGCCCGAGGCGCGAGGGGGAGAGGTGGGCTCATCGCCGCGGCGGCAGCATATGCGCGACGCTGCACAGCCGCCTGCGGAACCCCATTGCGACAGGACCCGCCGGCCGATGACCCTCGCTCGCAGCCCACCAACGAGTTCGAGGGTAGAGATTGCGAAGTCGGACGCGCCAGTGTCTGCGCGCCGCCGCATAGCCCGCCGTCGAACTCGGCGGCAAGGAGGCGACGTCTAAAATCCTGGCGCGGCGACCCCCCCGCGCAGCGGAGGGGCCGGACGCGCGCCCCGCTGGCGAAGACCCCCCGCGCGCGGCAGCCGTCTTTGCGACTTTCATTCGGCGGGGGGACCAAGACTAAGAGGAGCGTGAAGGTGCGGCGCATGCCGTGGGCGATGGCCCTGGCAGGAGGGTCGGCTTGCGCAGAGACCTCCTCCCCGGGGCCTCTCACCCCGGCTTGTCTTTCTGCTTGCGGCGCAGCTCGCGTGACTCCTTCGCCTCCCTGATGTTCTTCATGATGGCTGCGCCCGTCTCCACTTGAGCCTTCGCGTGCTCTCAAAAGGACGGCGGCGCCATCAGGCCCCCAACTCGACTGGGCCCCAAGAAAGCTTCGGCCTCCTCGATTGAGAGACGCGCAGTCGAACCAGCATCCGCATGGTCTGCGCGCGCTTCGCCGCGGCCCCCATGCAAGCCGAGTCGCTGACGTCGAGACTCATCGAGGTGGTCGCGCGGGCCCGCCAGCCCGATGATGCAGAAGAATCGCCCTGCTGCTCGGGCTTCAAGGAACATGTGATGCGGTACATCATATGATGATCTAGCGGCGCGCGCCGCCGGCGAAGGATCGACGAACGCCAAACCGTGCTCCCAGGCCCGCTCGCGGGGAAATCCTCGAACTCCTCCTGCGCGCAGTTGCCAACGACATCCTTCTTATCCCGCATGCGCCCGACACGGCCGTACTTCACGGAAAGATTGCGGACGTCAGGCTGGGACTTCGGGATCTCAGCTCGATCGCGTGGGGCAATCCTAGCTATGAAATCGAGCGGCTCCTCGCCGCTGAACTCCGCAATGACACCGCCCTTGCCGTTCGGAGCGTAGACATCTTTGACGCCCGCGGACACAGTCACGGGCTTCACCTCGAGGCCGCAGTCGAGGCCCAAGGCATTGTTGGCCCCCGGCAGGCGGTGTCTTGGTCCCACCAACGATCGCACCGTCAGCGCCACTCGAGGGTACACCAGCACCCCCAGCGGCGCCCAGGCGAACGCCCGTCTGCACGAAAGCGACTGCCAGGAGGGCTTCGGCAGCTACGCGCTGGCCTCGGGTGAAGCACGCGATGGGGCAGTCGGCGGGGGTCGCTCCGTCGGCCTGGGCGGCATTCACGGCTAGAGTGGCCCAAACGATCAACTTGGCGAGGAAGTCGGCATCCAACTCTCCCGCGGGGAACGAGTAGACGGCGTCGGCAAATCCATGCGGCAGTCGACCATCAGCAGCTGGGCGGATCCACTCCACGGGGCTATCGTCGGGGTGCCCGCCTTGGACGTTCTCGACGAACTAGTCACCGCCGGGCGCTGCGACCACCCAATCCACCACTGCTGCTGACTGTGGCGGCAGTGGCCAGCACAACGCATGCTCATACCTGAGCGCGTCCCTCGCGCACCGGACTTGGAAAGGGATCTTCTGACCCGGGTCAATCCAGACCCGGGTCAGCAGGAAACCAAAAACTGCAATGCAGGAAAAAATGCAACGCAGATCTTCGCAAACCCGGTTCAGCCAATATGCGCGGCCGCCTCGCGGCCACGAGCGGCTCGCTAACCCGGGGCAGCCCGAGGGGGTCTTCGCAGGATCCTGCAGGATCCGGTGCCCTGGCTGACCCCCGTTGGCATTGACCCCATGTCTTTGGACACCCGAAATGGGTACCGAAAGACTGGGTACAATGCCCAACAACAAATGTTGTCCCAAACCAACAGCGGCCGCTGTTGGGCAGGCGGCCTCCTGTCTCGAATGGACACAGGCCGCGGCGGCGCGGACAGCGAGCCCTGTTCAAAATGAACAGGAACTGCTCTTGGGCATTGTAACCATTCTTTCGGTGCCCATGTCGGGCGTCCAGAATGTCGAGGCTCCCGAGTGGATCACGTCGCCCGGCACCAGGTCGGACAACGACACCGCGGCCAGCAGGCTGAGGGCGGCGCCCGCAGACCCGCCGCACGCACGGACAGAAGCTGGCCCCGCCGCGCCCGCAGAGCGCCGCCAGCAGCACCGCGGCCCAGATCGGCAGGCACGCCCTCCGGGCGTTCGGCGCGCCCGCGCTCTCGCGGGCCGGCGAGGGGCGCGGCGGGGCCGCCTCGCACACCGGCGCCTCGCAAGGCGGGCACGAGGGGGGCGAGCAGGGACAACCGAGAGGGAGAGCGTTGACAGAGAGCAGCAGCAGAAGAAGCAGCCAGGGGGGCAAACCTCCGAGGCCAGCCCCACCGGCTTGCAGCTCCCCTGGGATCGCACTGCAAGCCAAGGCGCCAGAGCTCCCTGGCAGAGCGAAGGGGGGAATATCAAATCATCTTTTAAAAACGCCATAAACGTTAACTTTGGGCATTCTTCTTCTTCGGGACCAGTTGCCGAGACGGAGCCAAACACCTGGCGAGGATGAATCGTCAACTTCTCTGAGATCCAGCGGCTCCGGGCGATGTACCGGGCGTCGCGGCGTTCTCAGAGTGCTCCGGGACGTTCAAGGAGAGCTCAGGACGATCTGACCCGTGCAAATCCAAATCCGGGTCAGTCGGGATTTGTAAGAACCCGCATGATCCTGCAGGATGCTGCAAGATCCTGCACTTAAGCCAGGGTCAATGCACCCCTGGCTTTGCAGGATCCCGCAAGAACCGGCGCTCCGGCTGACCTCCGTTTGCAATGACCCCCGTCTCTTGAGCCCCGACTTGAAGGAATTTGACCTCGTCTGGGCCCCGTCCTAATTACCTTGGGAGCAGAAGAGCCCAGAATCGAAACGGTAAATCGAATCGGCGATCGACATGAATCGGATCGGCGGAAATCGGCAGCCGACTCGGAAGAGTCGAATCGGCGGAAACGGGCCAGCTTGTATGCGCCCAGTGCGAAATCGGAACCCGAATCGGAACCCCAAGCCGAATCGGATCGGAATCGGAAACCACCGAAATCGAATCGAATCGAATCGGAGGGATCGAACCCAAACCCCCGACGTCGTGATTTTTTCATGACGTCGCCCCCCAGAGGTCTGGACCCCTTCCCCGGGACCGGTTTTTCGTCCTGCATCGTTTTTTGACGGTCCCGAGGCCCGGGAAGGGCCCCAGAGGGCGAAAAGAGCGAAAAACCTTCCGTCGTGATTTTTTCACGACGCGAGGGGGTCTGGGAATGGAGCCCTGTGGGGGCTCGTGGCCCACACGAGCCCACCGCGCCGCCCCTCGCAGGCAGCGCTCGGGGGCCTCGGAGGCCCCCGGTCGACCGGGGGTGCAGCCTCAGAGAACGGCCAAAGCCCCAAGACCGCGGGGCCAGCCCGAATGCCCACTGGCTCCTCGCACTGGAGGGACCAACTTTTGAAGGGGCCCTGGGACACACAAATAAATACACACAAATAAAATGATTCCCCATATTTTCCCATATTTTCTGGGTTTTTTGTCTTCGCCCCCACTTCCCATATTTTCGCATATTTTCTGGGAATCGACGAATAATTGTGTCTGTGTGTTTTTTCCCCTCTTGAACTTTTTTCGTAAGCGGCGAGGCGGCGAACTCCGCACCAGCGCAACAGCTAGATAGGGGCACCAGCTGGCGAACTGGCCGGCGTGCAGGGAGGGAGCGGGGAGGCCGACGAGAGGAATGAGGGACGCTGGAGGAACAGGCACACAGGCATAAAGATAAACCTTCGGCGCTCCGCGCGGAGTTCTTGGATCTGCGCTGGAGCCCCCCTCCCTCGCACGCGGAGCGCGCCAGGGGCGGCGCCGGAGGCGCCGCCAGGGGGGCTCAGCGATCAAGGCAACTCGCCTGGCGATCTGTTTCTGGATGAGGTTGTGGGGATACGCGAAGTGTGTTTTTTCTGTGCCTTCCCCGAAGACACAGAGAGCCTCTCAGAGTGCGCGAGGGCTTCTGAGAAGTGCCTCCGCCTTCGGAGAAGGCCTTCTCCTTCTCATTTCCCCCCATCGCTCGCCGCCGACATACCGCCGAAAGCCTCGAAGACATCGGCGGCGACGACGACGACAACCTGGACGAGCCCGTTCCTGGAGGGCCTGGGGGATGGGCTGCACCGCCGCGTGGAGCTCGAAGATGTCGCGCCTGGCCCGAGGAGGGCAGCAAAGAAGGGGGGGAGGCGAGGGAGGGGATCCTGGCTGTCTTGCATTTCTTGGTTCTCGCCGACGCGCGCTGCTGCAGCACCAGGGCCTGACCCTTACTTGCTCGAGCGCTGCGCTCCGAACAATTATTTATCGGATCGTTGAAACTCATACGCGACGGCTCAAGCAAGCCAACGCTTGTCTAACATAAATCAAGCAAGGTAGAGAGGACTTTCATCTGGCTCTCGCGCTCTCGCCCCGACCGTGCTTGGTGGTTCAAAGATTGGGTCCTGATGGGTGGGGTCCTAAGGATAGGAAGGTATCCGAGGGTGGATCGACATTGTTTGAAGCACCTCGTCCTCAGGACCCCATCCCTCAGGACCTCCCTCGTCTTTGAACCACCGAAGTACGGGAGACCATGCGCACGACGATCCCAGAGACCATACGGGAAACCATGCAGCAAACCACGCGGGAGACCATACGGGAGATCACACCGCAGACCACACGGGAGTCCACACGGGACCACGGGCCTCCGGCTCCGGGTCCAGGGCTCACACACGGCCCTACTAAGCAATGTGTACACGGTGGGACTCATGCAGACACACCCTGTAAGGGCTCGTTATAAAAATGCTCCCGATAACGCCCGTGACTGGCCCCGCTCGCCCCCCCCCCCCTCCACCCTCTGGTCACGTTCGGCGGTGGACAAACCTCCCTTCAGTAAACCTCCCTTCAGTGACGACGGCCTAGGACCGAAACCGACGGACCTGGACCCGCAGAAACGACGGCCGCGACGCCTTCTCGCGAACCGAACAAGGCCGATTCGCTAGTCGACGTGCCAGGGCAGGAGGTCTGTCAACCTCCGACACGCCACCACTCGCGTCCCGGACGGCGCCCGGCGCGACGCGGGACACGGCCCCCCGAAGAGCACATCGGCTTCGCGCTCCCAGCGCAACGATCCCTAAGTGAAGAGGTCCCAGGACACACAAATAAATACACACAAATAAAAATATTCCCAGTATTTTCCCATATTTTCGGGGTTGTTGTCTTCCCCCCCACTTCCCATATTTTCCCATACTTTCTGGGGAATCGACGATTCATTGTGTCTGTGTGATGTTTCCCCTCCTGAACACGGCCCCCCGAAGAGCACATCGGCTTCGCGCTCCCAGGGCGGCGATCCCCAAGAGACTGCACGGGGTGCACGCTCCAGGGCCACGGCCCCTCGTAGACTGCACGATAGGCTCGCGCCGCGCGGGGACCACGGGCCCTCGTGGGTTGCACACGCTGGGCTCGCGCTCCCGGGGCCGCGCTCTCTTGAGAGACTGTGCGGCGTCCGCGGCGCCGGGGCCGCGATCCCCCCCTCCATCAATCACGCCGTGTCCGCGCCCCCTCCTCCTCCACCCACTTCCCCCCCCCTCGGCCCCGCCCGTCATCGCACGGGAGCTGGAGCTCTGGCCCCATGCCAGGAGCCGTCGAGGTACGAGGCTTGCACGGCCCCGTGACGCGAGAGCACCATGCACGGCCCGCGCACAGTACCCGAGCACGGACCCCCTTGCACCCCCTGGCAGCGCGCAGAGGTGGAGAGGGGGAGGGGGGAAGGCGTCTTAGAAACTTAGAAGCAGGGGTGCTTCTGCGAAGCCTTCCCCCCCTCCCCCCACCCCCCTCTGCGCGCGGCCGAATACAGTCGGGGCCTTGACCTAAGGAACCCAAAATAAGGAACGAGGCCCCTTTTTTCCATGAGTTAACCTTCCATTTCCGATCGAAAACACAAGGAAAACATGAGGCACGCTGCGAAACACTTAAGGAACGCGGAGCCCCTCCCCAACGAAAAGGGTTCCTTCTTCAGGGCCCCGACTGTACCCCCTCCCTGGCACGACCCGCGCGAGCAGACTTTACTGTCCGACGAGATACTCCAGCACCGCGCGCGCGCCCTCTCCGAGGGCTCCGGGCTCGCGGGCCGGCTCCACTGGCGCCTCGAGAACGACGACGACGACGCGCCGCGCCCCCACGCGCCGCACCCAATCCGCGGGCAGGGGCGCAGCCGGAGGCCGCCGCCGAGGCCCCCGCCGTATCTTGCCGATGCCGCCGCCCTCCGAGTAGAGGCTCTGCTCCAGGGACTCCCGCTTCAGGTCCACCTCCCTGAACTTGTCCATGGTGTCCATCCTCTCCTCGGCCATCCGCTTCTTGAACGCGTCTGCCGGGCCGCGGCGCCCCGCGGCACGTGTGCTGTCGGACGAGCGCGTTCCACGACTCGCCAAGTAGTTGCACCACTCGCAAATGGCCTGGATCCGCCGCGGGGGATCAACGACGCATTACTTCGAATTAGACATGTGCTTTTCGGCCGTCTGCGAGCAAGCACTTTGCGAGCAGTGGACGGCGCTTGGTGATGCTCTGCCATTCCTGTTCGCCCGTTGCGCTTACAGACACTCTGGCGGGGGCCGGGGCGCCAGGACGCGCCGCCCTGCCCCAGCCTCCTTGAGCGTTAGGCCGGGCATGTCCTCCCGGGGGCGAGTTTTGGGCGAAAACCCAAAACATGATCCAACAATGCCCCAACATAGTAACACAAACAATCAGCAGAATCGTCCCCCGACCGTGTTTCGACCATCTCTTCGAGTACCCCTCCTGTAGAGGGGCACGCCCGACTTGCCTTGAGCGCCCCCAGACAGCCTGCTGCCGCGCGCCTCGAGGGCGCGCAGGAGCTGCGGGCCGAGAAGCAGCAGCTGCGCGCCGTCTGGGAGATCCGCGGCCGTGAGTGAAGGGGCCCTGGGACACACAAATAAATACACACAAATGAACATGTTCCCCATGTTTTCCCATATTTTCTGGGTTTTTGTCTTCCCCCCCACTTACCATATTTTCCCATATTTTCTGGAAAATCTACGAATAATTGTGTCTGTGTGTTTTTTCCCCTCATGAGTGAGGTGTACAGCTCACGCTCACGCGCGGCAGGACGGTGGCGCCAGAGGGAATCCACCACCATCAGATTTCACGGGCCAAGAAAGGCACAGTGGTCGGGTCGGGCGAAAGGGGGGGATAGCAAAGGGGGGGTTTGAGAATCAGCTCACGGAGCTGATTTTCCCGGCGCCTCCCGGCGCTGGAGGCGGCTATGTATCGAGGAATGGTCCCTCGGCGAGGCCGAAACCAGCTGCATGCAGCAAATTTCGTAACCCCCCCTTTCCCAATCCCCCCCTTTCGTCCGGCCCGAAGTGGGGGCTCGGCCACAGGAAACCTCCGCAAGAAACCCAACCATGAAATCCGCGCTTTGTTCAATGAGAATCCAAATTTGTCGATCGAAAATCATCCAGATCTTATTGGGGACCCCTCGAAGTCCAAGAAACCCAGGGCACCCTGGCAAAATCCAACTGGATTCTTGGCACGCGCCCCCATTGTATACAATAAACTGTTTCGCTGTCGGAGGCGCCTGTCCCAGGGCGACTGGAAAGCTTCTTCCCGTACGGTGGCACGGCAAGGTATAAACTTTCCGGCCGCCCTGGGGCAGCGCCCCCAGTGGCGGAACGGCTTATTCTCCACCATTCTTCATCCCAAAATGGGCGCCGTCTGGATCCAGCGGCCGTGAGGTGTACAGCTTACGTCCAGGCGGCGGCCAGTGGCGCCAGAGTCAATCTATCACCATCAATAGAGGCCTCCTAGATGGGGTCGGAGTAGATGGGGTCGGAGGATCGCGCCGCATGGCCGATACACCGGCAATGCATCGGCGATGCATCGCCGATGCACCGGTGATGCATCCTCGAAGTCGGCGATGCATCGGCGACGTCGATCGAAGCAAATGCATCGGCGACATCGGCAATGCATCGGCGAAGCAAATCGGGCTGCACATCGAGCCGCATCGGCGATGCATCGGCGATGCGGCGCGATCCTCCGACCCCGTCTACTCCGACCCGATCTGGGAGGCCTAGAATCCAAGTTGTGGCAGCCTGCGCTCGAGACATGCTGAGGAAGTCACACAGGTGCCCAAACTGCGCCCCGTACTGAAAACTCTGCGTCGCCGAAGGCGAGGGAGCTCCAACCACTGGCAGCCACTGGCAGCGCAGGCCAGCGACCTGGGAAGCGCGCTGCGTGCGCACATGATGGCACTGTCCGTCTCGAGGTGGCCCACGCTCGTGACACAGCGCTGGCCTCAAGCAGCGACGCTGCACGATTGGGCTACAACTGTCGCTGGATAGGCTGGAACTCATAACGTCCTACGCTTGGATGCCCCCATTGGGACACGGCGGTTCACGCGCTCCCACACCCGATGAGCGACGATCGAAAACGGGTATTACGCCAGATGGCACAGCGACCTTACGCGGTTGCTTGCGCGGGCCGCCAGCGCGGCACGCTACAATGGAGACGAGGGCGCTTACGCGCGACCTTACGCCGGCAGCTTGCGCGCCCATGTCGGCGCAGACGACCTGGTGTTCCTGCGCCGCGCAGATGGCGTGCCCGCATAAACCGCACTCTTCGACGGTGCATCAGCGGAGCGCCAGCGGCGAGCGCAAAGAGGCCCGGGTTGAGCTGCCAGCCGTGACAGGAAGGACGATGCGGCGGGACGACGCGGCGGACTCCTGTCGTGGCGACGTGGCGCTGGTCTCGGGCACCGCGTGGGTCGTCTGGTCTTCAGCGATTGCCACGATTCGATGGCGAGGAGCGGTCAAGGCTGGCCTGGTTCAGGCCTGTTGGCGGCGTGCAGAGGGTGGTCGGGGGAGGGGGACGGTTTCTGAGGAGGAGGCTGCCTCTCAGGAGGCGCCCGGGGCCCGCGCCTTCTGAGAGGCAAGGCGCTTCTAGGAAGCCTTCCCCCCTCCCCCAGATGCTCCCCCCGTTCTGCGCGTGGCCGAGGTTCGACGCCGAAGAATGTTCCAGGCTGGCCTGCGTGTACACCCTGCGAAATGCTTAAGAAATCATGGGTTAAGAAATTCATAGTCTCAGTACTTGAATAAAAACCCAAAATTTCCATTCAAACATTAGGATTTACATTGAAACATTAAGATTAATCGAGACTCTGGCCGAAAATGCAAGTTTTCTTAAGCATCGCCTAAGGTGTACAATCAAATCTTGAGCGACTTCCGCGACCTGCCATCGCTCCGACGTCCATTCCGTGTGCACTTGTCGGCTTCGTGCGTCTCTGTTCCGCGGATCCGAGGCAGCGAGCACGCCCAGAAAAAGAAGCGCGTCAGAGGCGGGGCTGTCCTACGACGTCGAGCACCTCCTTCTTCTTTGCCAGCACCTCGTCGTGCAAGGATTGGTTATCCTTGTCCACCTCGGCACTCGGGTGGAGTGGCAGCGCCCCGCGGACCCCTCTCTTCCCCCCTCTCCCTCCAACTCTTCTCCCTGTCTCGCTCCTCCGCCGCCCCCTTCGGAACCTGCAGCTCAGGCGCGAATTCGCTGCCGACTCCAAAACCATGGGTGCCGGAACTGTGTCTGCGACACGCGTGTTTTAATACCATGCGCTTCCTCGTCCTCTCTCCACAAGTTCGAACCCTCCTCGTCCTCTCTCCAAAACTTCGAACCCTCCTCGTCCCCTGCCCCTCCTCCCTGCCCCACAGCTTCGAACCCTTCCTCGTCCTCCCTCCACCTCCCCCCTCTCCCCTCTCCATCACGGGAAGGAGGGGTCACGGGGAACGAAGCGAGACGGAGCGGGGGGAGACCGGAAGGCGAGGAGCAGGAGCAGGAGCACGAGCTGGGGAAGTGAGGCAGACGGATGACCAGCAGCAGGGGCACGTACACGGGCGGAAGAGGCAGACAGGAGCGTCACGAGCATGAACACGAATCTTATGACAAGAGACAGATGACCAACGACTGACTGACGAACGACTGACGACTACCAATCGCCTGACCGAATCCCACCGCGCCTCCTCCTAATTCCGCCTGCCCCTGCTCACTGTCCCCCCCTCGCCCCCCTCGCACTGGCTCGGTCGCTGCTGAGCCGAGGGATCAGCTCGGGGAGAAGGGCGCCGAAGTCGTCACCGGTAGACGGCCCGATCATGTGGATCGAAACTACAGTGGCCTCTGGCCCGAGGCTCGGAGCAGGACCGAACTTGCCAAGAGAGGCCACAAGAGGCCAGCAGGGAGCACAGCTGCTGCGCATTGTTACTGGCACTGCCGCCATACCCACAACTCCGTACCCCGCCCCCCGATCCCCCCTGGCCGAGGACGATGTCGTCGTCGTCGCCCAGGGCGCCGCCGCCGCCGTCGCCGCTGCCGCTGCCGACGCCGCCCTCGCCCCCGACTGGGGAGGCAAACAAAAAACGGTACCACTGCTCCCCGCACCTCTCCCCGGGCGCGCCCTGCCCAGGACTTCCAGGCGAGCCCAGCGGGGTGGCGACGAGGGCCCCCCGGGGCGCCAACACACAAGCAGGGGAGCGCGGGCGGAAGGCCGCGGCGTCGCCACCTCCTCCTCCGACCGACGCGTCCGGGATCGCGCCCGCGCGCGCGGGCCAGCGGGCCGAGGAGGCCGCGGTCGCGATCTCCCGCGCGCGCCGCTGGAGGTCCGCCTGGCGGGGCGGAGGCGGGGAGGGCCCGGAGGGGGGGGGGGCGCGCAGGCGGGGGGAGGCGGCGGCGCGCAGGCGGCCGCAGGGGGGGGGTTGGGGGCCGCCGCGCCGCCGCGCCAGCGCCGACGCCGCGGAGGGAGAGGGTGATGCCTGTGCGATCACCGCGCGGGCGTCAGATCGGCGCATTTGTTGTTCTGTTGTCAGTCTCTTCCCCCACGTCCACGTGAGATCGGAGCCGCGCCGCCGGCCGCCGCTCGCTCGCGATCAAGATGTGCAGGGGAGGGAGGTGGTGTTTTTTTTGTTTGTGGGGAGCGGGCAGCAGGGCTCGATCTCAATCTTGTGTGTGTGCCGTTGCAGGAGAGCCCGGAATCGAATCGACAAGTCGGATCGGCGATCGACATGAATCGGATCGGCGGAAACTGGCAGGCTAGTAGGCCTCCCTTGAGGAATCCGAGCCCACATCGGAGCCCGAAGTCGAATCGGATCGCATGATCGGGATCGGAAACCGTCGAAACCGAATGGGGTCGAATCGAAGGGATCGAAAGGAGCCCGGCGTTGTCGTGCCGTCTGCGGTGTCCCCCCGTGCCGCCCTCGCGCCGCCCCCCTGCTGCAGAGCGAGGTCGGAACGGAGGCGGCCCACGAGGTCGCCCAACAAAAAAACACCGTGCTCGGGTCGGGCGCCCCGGCGGACCGCACCCCCCCGACAGAGCACCACCGAGGAGCAGTCCTGGGAGCACTGCCGTAGCAAACAGACTGAACCGTCTCACTCCTCCGCCTCCTCCTCATCCTCCTCCTCCTCCGCCTCCTCCTCCTCCTCCTCCGCCTCCTCCTCCTCCTCCAAGCGAGGAGGCTCCCGGACGACGCTGCGCCAGGATTGCTCGGCGGGGTATCGCTGCGTTGATACATCTGGCAGGCGAGGAGACGAGGTGAGGCAGCGGCCACGAGCCAGGTCCCCGGGGCCGCTCTAGCCCCGAACCAACCGGATGCCTCGAGTTCAGAGGCCCTCGGCGCGGGCGTCACGCCCGAGGAGGCTCGCGCCCCGTCGGTCGAGACGGCAGGGAGCCCGTCCTTTCTCCAGGCCGCCGAGGAGGGAGGGGAGGGGGGGAGAGGGGGATCAGAAGGGAGCAGGCGAGCCCAGGAAGGAATCGACAAGTCGCATCGTCGACCAAAATGACTCGGATCGGCAGAGATCGGCAGCCCGGGTCGGGAGGAGACGCATCGGCAACCATCGGCAGGCGAGTAGGCCCCCTATGGGACTCCCCCTCTCCTAGATCTAACAACCCCAACCTGTCGCGTGAGCAACAGAAGCGACTCATCAGGAGCATCGCGCGAATACGTCAAGAGCAGTGCCTGGACCTGTTGGCGGCGCGCCCAAGGGGGTAGGGTCAGATCGGGCATGTCCTCCTACAGGCGAAGTTTGGCCCCCTCACCCAAAAACATGCAAAAGCAACTATCGTCAAAACTAATCGAAAAATCGTCCCCAGACTATGTTTCGACTATCTTTGAATATTCCTTCTGTAGAGGGACATGCCCGACGTAAGGGTAGGGGGAGGAGGGAAGGCTTCTGAGCAGGATGGCTGCTTTTCAGAAGGCGCCGGCACTGCACCTTACAGATCAGGCCCGCGCCCTCTGAGAAGCAGGGGTGCCTCTGAGGAGAGCCCCCCCGCTCACCCCGGAGGGCAACGATCGGGGAGGACTGGCATAGGGGGGACGCATCGACCCGGAGCCGGCGATGCATCGCCGCTAGATCGGCGGCAGGCCGATGATGCATCCGCACGTTCCTGGGCGGGGTGGGGCTATCTGGCCCCTGTCGGCGATCAATGGGCGGTTGGGGGTCGACGAACCCCTCCCCCTGTGCCTCTGCCTGTCCCACCCCCCCCTAGATCGTTGCTGAAGGGGCCCCAGGACACACAAACAAATACACACAAATAAACAGATTCCCCATATCTTCCCATATTTTCGGGGTTTCTGTCTCCCCCCCACTTCCCATACTCTCCCATATTTTCTGGGCAATCCAGGATTCATTGTGCCTGTGTGCTTCTTTTCCTCCTGCGTTGCCCTTGCCCTGCTCCCCCCCTGCTGCGCGTGGCCGAGCGAGCGGTGGTGGCGGGCCGGCCCGGCCGTGGTGTGGCCGCGAGGCGCGCCCGCGAGAGGCCCACCAGACGGCTCCGAGAGCAAGCCGAGAGGTAACGGCTCAGGGTGAGAGCGCCTCTGATGGGCAAAATTCCCACCACCACTACCATAGGAGGGATGAGGAGGTCCTCCTCCTCCTCCTCCTCCTCCTCCTCCTCCTCCTCCTCCTCCTCCTCCCCCTTTTCCTTCTTCGCCCTTTCCTCCTCATCCTTCTCCTCCTCCCTCTCCTATGGTAGTGGTGGTGGAAAGTGGGCCCATCGCACTTCAGGACCAACCCCAAAAATTATCCCGGCAAAGCAACCTAACAGCGATGTGTATAAGCATATCTGGAAGTATTCCCTTTAAGATTCAAGTGAGAATCCAGTTGTAGAATTCTGCTGTTCTCGCAGTCGCAGTCGCATTCGCAATGACAGTCGCAGAGGCAACGGCCTTAGGATCCAATGGAATCCTAAGGATTCCTAGGGATTCCTAAGGCATCCTTAGGCATCCTTAGGAATCCATAGGAATCCTTAGGAAACCTTGGGAATCCTTAGGACTCCTGATTCCTAGGGATTCCCAAGGATTCCTGAGGAATCGTACGGATTCCTAAGTATTCCTGGGGATGCTTAACTATGCCTACGGATTCCTAAGGATGCCTACGGATAAGGATTCCTATGGATTCCCAAGGATTCCTATGGATTCCTACGGATGCCTCAACCTGCCTCAGTTTCAGCCTCAGCCTCAGTCTGCCTCGGCTTGCCTCAGCCTCAGCCTCAGCCTGCCTCGGCCTCAGCCTCAGCCTGCCTCAGCCTCAGCCTCAGCCTGCCTCGGCCTCAGCCTGCGTCAGCCTCAGCCTCAGCCTGCCTCAGCCTCAGCCTGCCTCAGCCTCAGCCTCAGCCTCAGCCTCATCCTGCCTCGCTTGCCTCAGCCTCAGCCTCAGCCTGCCTCGGCCTCAGCCTGCCTCAGCCTCCCTCCTCCCCCCCCCCCCTTCCCCCCCCCATTCAGCCTCACCTTGTCTCAGCTTCGGCCTCCTCGGCCTCATCCTCAGCCTCAGCCTCAGCCTGCCTCTCGGCCTGAGCCTGCCTCGGCCTCAGCCTCAGCCCTGCCTCAGCCTCAGCCTCAGCCTGTCTCAGCCTCAGCTGCCTCAGCATCAGCCTCAGCCTCAGCCTCAGCCTGCCTCGGCCTCAGCCTGCCTCGGCGCCTCAGCCTGCCTCAGCCTCAGCCTCAGCCTGCCTCAGCCTCAGCCTGCCTCAGCCTCAGCCTGCCTCGGCCTCAGCCTGCGTCAGCCTCAGCCTCAGCCTGCCTCAGCCTCAGCCTCAGCCTCAGCCTCAGCCTGCCTCGGCGTGCCTCACCCTCAGACTCAGCCTGCCTCGGCCTCAGCCTGCCTCGGCCTCAGCCTGCCTCAGCTTGGGCATTCAAAATGTGGCCTGGGAATGATGGTCTGGGAACACGAAGATCACGAAGTGGCCCACAGTTGGCTCTGGGCAAGCAACATATTGTACAGGAATGGTGTTTTGGGAACACGAAGAACACGAAGTGGCCTACAGTTGGCTCCGAGCATTCAAAATGTGGCCTGGGAATGATGTTCTGGGAACACGAAGAACACGAAGTGGCCTACAGTTGGCTCCGGGCATTCAAAATGTGGCCTGGGAATGGTGTTCTGGGAAAACGGAGAACACGAAGTGGCCTACAGTTGGCTCCGGGCATTCCAAATGTGGCATGGGATTTGTGTTCTGGGAACACGAAGAACACGAAGTGGCCTAGAGGTGGCTCTGGGCATTCAAAATGTGGCCTGGGAATGGTGTTCTGTGGGCTCCGGGCAGTCAAAATGTGGCCTGGGATAGTGTTCTGGGGAGTCCCCGGTTTTCCCTGGCATCCGTCCGGATCCCGCCCAGACCCCCCTCAGGAGTCATAATGCTCTCTTTTGACACTACTAGAAGCCTATCAGTCTCCGCTGTTAGGTAACTACTTTCGAACACCAAGAAAAACGCTAGCGCGGTGTCGAGCGAGCATCGCCTACAAGGGCCCAACACGTGACAGCCCTCCAATTTCGGTACCCTCCTGATGCTCGAAATTCTTCGTGGCGATCCAGGCTCAGGTGGGCTAGAACATCATCAGCCTCGAGCTGGAATCGGCGATGCATCACTGATAGCTTGGCGATACGGTGGAGGCCAGTCCACAAGAGACCATCCGCAAGAAGCCCAACCCCGAGACCCCTGGACGTCCATGGATGTTTGGTGTGGGAGCGTCGCGCTTCCCACAGCAACAAAAAACAAGAAGCCCATGGCAGCCTGGAGGCAAGCAGGGTGCTTCTTGACATGGGCCTCCACCGTAGGCCATCGGAGGCGCATCCGCGCGTTCTGTGGCGGGCTGGGCTATCAGGCATCAGATCGGCGATCAGTGAGCGATTGGGGGTCGATGCGTTGCCGCTGAGCCTGCCCACCCCCCGGATCATCGCCCCAGAGATCCTCGGCTCTCGATCCTCCTATTCTCCCTCATCCTCCTTCCTCTCCTTCCATCGGCTGCGCCCAGGAGTGGCCCTAGGAAAGAGGAACCTTTCGCGCGTGGGTGGAAATCCGCAGGATCCTGCAGGGTCCTGCATGCAAGCTGGCGGCGCGCACAACGGGCTAGGGAGAGGGGGGAGGCTTCTTAGAGGCACCGTTGCTTCTCAGAAGGCGCGGGCCCTGTCTGCAGATGGAAGGCTCGCGGCTTCTAATGAGCAGCCTCCTTCCAAGAAGCCTCAACCCCCCTCCCCCTTACCCCCTCGTGCGCGCCGCCAAGCAAGCCCGGGTCAATGCACCCCGGGCTCTGAGGGATCCTCTGGCAAGATCCGGCGCCCTGGCCGACCTCAACTTTGAAGGGGCCCTGGCATGGGCCCCTTCAAAGGCATGTATCGAGGCATGGGCCCCTCGGTGGGGCCGAAACCAGCTGCATGCAGCAGATTTCGTAACCCCCCCTTTCCCAATCCCCCTCCCTTCGTCCGGCCCGAGACTCTTGGGGGGTCGATGCCCAGGAACGCTGGAGTGCAGGGGAACGAAGAGTTACATAAACAAAAAATAACTCGGAGGGCCGCGCGGATTTCTTGGATCCGCGCTGGACCCCCTCCCTGGCGCGCGGAGCGCGCCAGCGCCAGCGGCGGCGCCGGAGGCGCCGCCAGGGGGCTCCAGCGCGGATCCGAGAAATCCGTCGGGAACTCCAAGTTTTTATGCTGATGTCGTTGTTCGCTCCCCTAGAGCAGCGATCCCAGTGTCTGCCACACCGCGTCCGCCGCGCTGGTCGGCTCCTTTCTTGTCCGCCCCCGGTCCCTGCTCGACCCCCTCCCCTCTTCCCTTGAGTCGGGCATGTCCTCCTACAGGCGGATTCCCCACACACACACACACACACACCACACACACACCACACACACCACACACACACACACAACACACACAAACACACACAAACACACACAACACACACACAACACACACACACACCACACCACACCACACCACACCACACCACACCACACCACACCACACCACACCACACCACACCACACCACACCACACCACACCACACCACACCACACCACACCACACCACACCACACACACACACACCAACACACACCAACACACACCAACACACACCAACACACACCAACACACACCAACACACACCAACACACACCAACACACACCAACACACACCAACACACACCAACACACACCAACACACACACACACAGAGAGAGAGAGAGAGAGAAAAATAGCCAAAAGATAAGCACAACAATCGAAAATAGTAGAAACATCATCCCCTGACGATTGCTTGACTATTTCTGAGTGTTTCTCCTGTAGAGGGACCTGCCCGACTTCAGTGTAGGGGGAGGACGGAAGGCTTCGGAGCAACACACCCATGAGGTAGCCGAGAAGCATCGAAAAGCCGTCCCCCGGACGATCTGTGGACTACTCTCGATTCCTCCTCCCGTCGAGGGACGTGCCCGACTCGCCTCTTCCCCGCCCCCCTCCGCCCGCCCGCTCCGCTCCTGCCCCCGATGCCCCCTTCGGGTCGCCGGCGCTTGCGCGGGCGAAGGACGCGAGCGCCCTTCCGGCACATGCTGGGCCCTTCGGCGCCAGCTGTGGACACGCAGCAGGCATCCGTGCACCGCCACGTTGCCAAGCCAGGGCCATGCTGGCCCTGGCACGGTGTGTACGCCCTCCTGGCCGAGGCCAGGAGGATCTATACGCCATCTTGGGAGGGCCCAGGATGGCCCTGGCCTGGCACGGTGGTGGTGTTATAGACGCCCTCGTCGGATTAGAAGAGAAAAAACGGCATGAAGATCACCTTTTGGCGCTCCGCGCGGACTTCTTGGATCCGCGCTGGACCCCCCTCCCTGGCGCGCGCGGAGGGCGCCAGGGGCGGCGCCAGCGGCCCTGCCCGGGGGGCCCAGCGCGGATCCAATCAATCCGCGCCGAACTCCGACACTGTGTGCTTCCGCCGTTGCTTGCTCCTCGCAGCTTCGAGGCCGCTCGGGCCCCCCCCGGGCCGCGCTCATGCACCCCATCGAACCCCCCGCTGCCAAGCGCCGACGGGCCCTCGGCAGCTCGCCCGCCGCCCGCCCCCCCCCCGCACCCCCCAGGGGTCAGACAGGGCAGCTCCTACAGGCGGGCTCTGTAGGAACAGTCGAACATTGCCCCCGCCCCCCCCCTCCAAAAAAAGCACAATCAAACATAGCAGAGAAATCGTCCCAATCTTATTGTTTGACTGTTATTGAATACTCCTGCTGTAGAAGGCAACGACGACGAGGATGACGAGGACGAGGAGGGGGAGGAGGAGGAGAGAACAAGGGGGGGGAGGATGAGAATGAGGAGGAGGAGGCGAGACATGCTCAATGTAACCGCATGGCATCTCCTTCACCAGCTCCAGCTTGCGGTCCAGCTCCAGGGCCTGCTTGCGTATGCCCCCCAGGCTCTCCTCGCGGCCGCCGTCGTCGCCGTCGTCGTCGTCGTGGTGGTGGTGGTGGTGGTCGTGGTCGTGCTCGTCGTCGTCGGTTCCCAGATGGCACATGGAGGTTCTGGTCGTCGGACATTTCCATCAGTTCCTGCATGGTCCTCAGAGGTGTTCGAAAGCTTTCGGGTTCTTGCGGGGGAGTCCTGGTCAGCGTCGCCGCCGTCGTCGTCGTACCCATTTCTCTTCCACCCTGTCCCCCGCTGGTTCCTCCGATCGTCCTCGTCCTCAACGTTGTCATCCTCGCTGTCGTATCCGCCCTCGACCTCCTCTGGCTCTTCATGTTCCTCCTCTTCCTCCTCTTTCTCCTCCTCATCCTCAAAATCACACGCCTCATCCTCCTCGATTGCACTGCCTCCTGCTGAATTCAACGGAGCGTTTCTCCGCACCTGGGAGGTGCGGGTTCATGCCACAGGGAAAGGAACAGCGCGTGGCTGTCTGTCGAGCGGGAATGTTGTCGCCGTCGCAGCCCCGTCGCCACCTCGTCGCCGCCCGTCGTCTGGGCCTGGCTGTATGTTTGGCGGATATGTCGTCGCCGTCGCCGCCCCGTCGCAGTTTCGTCGCCGCTCGCTTGGGCCTGCGCGTGGGTCTGGCGGATATGTCGTCGCCGTCGCCGCCCCGTCCGTCTTCTGGACGTGTGGGTCGGTGTGGCGGCTATCTTGTCGCCGTCGCCGAACCGTCGCCGCCTCTGTATAGATGTGTTTCGGCCCCCCACCACCAAAACGATCGGTAGCCCCTGGGACACGTCAAATTGTGCATCCGATTCCGAGCCATTCCGAGGGGATGCCGTCGTCGACCCCCCTTTCGCCTTTCGCACGTGCTGCTGGGCGCGCGCGCACACGGCTGTTCCAAACCATACATGGTCGAGAACCTTTCGCACAAGAGCAGCGGCAGCGTCCACACGCGCTCGGCGTCGCGCGCGCATGCTGGAATCCTGCAAACCACACGCACGTACACACACAGAGGTCCCGTGAGGAATTCAAGATCGACGTGCCCGAAGCGTATCAAACAACATGGTGTTGCAACATGGGTCGCTCAACCAAATGCGCGGACGCTTATGCGATTTTTGACGCCAATCATGTGCAGTTTGTTCAGCACGTGCGTCACATGACGCCACGCGGGCCTCTCGCGCGTGCATGTCGAACGCATTCGGGCGCCGCTGCGCGGCTGCTGAGGGGGAACGGACGTCGGCCGTGCGCGCACGTCGAAGTCCTGTCCACGACTTGAATCACCGACGTGTGGACACCGTCATCGTCACCGGCGTGATCCGCATCCGCGCCGTCATTGGCCTTGCCGTCGTCACCGTCATCATCGTCACCACAATGGTTGCTATCATCTTCGCGTCGGCCGTTGTCGGCAACACCATATGTGCCTAACGTGCACAAAATCGGCCACCGTGCCTGCACGGAGCGGGCGTGTTAGAAAACTCCCGTGGTCCCTCTGGGGATGTTTGATTTAAACGTGTAAGCAAGCGGGGCTTAAACACCGTCCGCTTCTGAAATTGCTTCCCGGGGCTCTTCTCGGCCTCCAGACGGCCAAGATGGCCCCCAGAACGGCTTCCAAGACAGCCAAGATGACAACAAAACTGCTGAAAAATGCCCCAGACAGCTCAAGATCCTCCTAAGAAAGCCTCACGACGGCAGAGGATAGCCCAAGGAGGCCTCAAGACGGCCCAACAGGCCCCCAAGACGGCGCGAGGGAGCTCCAAGCGGCATTTCAAGAGAGCCTTGAGGTTCTCGCCTGTTTGGGTTTCCGACTTCCCAAGACGGCCCAAGAGGCTTCCAAGAGGCCTCCAAGATAGCCCCCAAGACAGCCCAAGCGGCCCCAAGAGGGCCCAAGAGGGCCCCAAGTCGGTCCAAGAGGACCCAAATGTCGCCAAAGGGGCTCTCAAAGAGGGCCCCAAGACTGCCCTGAAACGCTCCAAGAGAGCAACAAGACGGCCCAAATAAGCCTTGTGGGCTGCCTTGGTAGGTCGGAAACCGTAACATGCCAGAGCCTCACATCCTGGAATCACATGCGGACAATCAATGATTTGGGGCATCCTTGGGCTCTCCTGGAGGGCCTCTTGGAGTCCTCTTGGGCCGTCTTGGAGGCCTCTTGATTTGTCGTGAGGCTGCATTGGGAGACTCGCCTCCAGGACGGCGTTCACGGCAACCAAGATGATGCCAAGATGACCCAAAGCGGCCCAAGAGGCTGCCAATACAGCCTCAAGACAGATCAAGAAGCCCCCAAGACGGCCCAAGAGGTGTACAAGAGGCACCCTGGAGAGCCCAAGGAGGCCATGACCATTGAAGCTCCTTAGGAATTTGAAAGATGCTGAGCTTCTCCGGGTTCGGGTTTCCGACCGCCCACGACGACCCGTGAAGCTTCCAAGAGGCCTCCGAGATAGCTCCAAGACAGCCCATGATGACCCCAAGAGGGCCCGCAGCTTGCCCAAGAGGACCCAAAAATCGCACAAGGAGCTCCGAAGAGAATCCAAATACGGCCGTGAACAACTCCAAGAGGGCACCAACGCGAGCTAGAGAGGCTCCAAAGGCGGCCTCCATAGGCGTCAGACGGTCCACAAGCCCTCTACGACGGCGCAAGAGGCCAGACGCGGGATTGTGCCCTCCCTAGACTCAACCTCGTTCCTACTGCGCTGTTGCACAATTGCGGTGGCGGGGTTTGCCGCAAGCAGCTGGACACACTTGCCAAGACAAGCCACCGATATCATATCTCAATTAGAAGCGCCAGGGAAACATGCAATCACTAAACACATAATACACACATTCACACATATGGCTTACCTATGTGTATGCGCATGTGCACGTCTATGCTCACCAGGTATACACATATGCCACGTATTCCATGACTAAATATACACACATGCATAAAACTGCACATGCATTGCACGACCAGAGATGCATAGAACGCATTATTTGTTCGTCCAGAACATACATGAAGACACCGCGTAAAGTATACGCGTCAATGCCATAAAACTACAGGCATGCAACCGTAACATACATTAGCACGGTGAATTAATCGCATGCACCTGGCACGTATAGCCTACAACGAGAGCGTGCCCTCTGGCAAGAGTATGTATCAAGACCATCGTTAGAAAAATCATGATACATCCACAGCTAGAACACAGAGCGACAGCAAAACACACATCTGACAAAGCGAGGGGGCCGAACGGTCATCCACTGTCCCTGGGTGCGTAGCTGAAATGAGCTTCCGCAGTGCGGATTGTTGTTGTTGTTGCAGGTTGTGTTGCCGTTGCTGGTGTTGTTGGTGATGCTGGTGGTGGTGTTGCTGTGGTTGTTGAATTCTACCTACGTGAAACTAATTATTGTTGGTCACCCCCTCCCGGACAACTGTGTTTGTTCAATTGAGATGCTTTTCCGGGGGCTCGCACCCGGGGTATGTTTTTACAAGGGCGAGCGATGTGCCACCAAACTGGGCCCTTGGCCTCTGGTTTACGCCAACAACGGTTCACGCCGAGTACACAATTCATTTCCAAATCGCTATTTCGCATGGGAATTTCTCACAATGTATACAGAAGTCGCGCTCTCGTGTTGACCTTCTTCACAAGTTACTCATACACCGCGCCCTCCGCACTCAGGAATCACGCTCTCGCTGTGGATTTCCTCACGACTAATTTGGGAATCGTGCCATCGCTCGAGCGCGATATATGCAGTAATCACGCTTCAGCAAACCGCCTGCCCGACCTGCAAGAGTAAGCTCGGCTTACACATTTGGACTCAAGGGCCTTCTCAAGGGCCTTCTCAAGGGCATTCTCAATACTCCATCCCTCTCTCCAAATACTCCCCCCACAACCGACCTGCGAATCACGGGAGGCTCGCGGCCCCTTTCTGGGCAGGAATGCCTGACTCGCGACGTCAGGGTGAAAGTACTTGGTCATCACTGCAGAAGCAAAGCCGAAGACCAACGACGACAAGGTCATGGACTGCTCCGAGAAGGCGGACGGAGAGGAGACTGTGATCTCCGATGGCCCTCCTCCATGGTTCAAGGCTTTCGAGGACCGCCTGAACGCTCAACTATCAAACAACACATCGAGCATCCAAGAGGCTAGGGATGAAGCAGGACATGCCATACGAGCGGCACGTGAAGCGCAAGACATGTTGGAAGATGCTGGAGCCGACGTGAAAAACCTCGGGGCTGATATTGAGATCGAATACGTTGCGAAGGCGACATTACACAAGGATTTGGAGGCCAGTGGAGGAGCACGTCAAGAAGCCACTGATGACCGCGAAGGAGGGCACGTACGTACAAATTCACCAACAACCACCACAGGACAACCGGGAGCTGCAGGTCATCGTGGGATGCCTGAAAGAGGAGGAGGAAGAAGACCACATCACCAAGCAGTTCTAACAAAGTGTGGAGGAATGGGGTGAAGGACAGGATTGTCAAAAGCTCAAGCTTCCTCGACCCAGCTAAAATCGGAGTTGTGAATTGTACTACAGATTCTGCTAGAAGGGGCTTCCTGAAGAAGATGAGGGGAAGAACAACCAAGTGGCAGTGTGGGGGAAACAATGCTGTTCAAAAACAACAACACGATCGAAAAACGGATCATTGGTGAAATCCTGGGCAAGGTGGAACATCACCTGATGGCTTCGAACAACATTCGATCCGCATCTTATGGGATACCGGGATCATCAAAATCAAGGGTATATAGGTTGACGAGGTCAGGGAGGACGGAGATCTGGAAACCTACGGGGACGGGGACCAGGTCAAGCAGGAAGCGGTGGCGTTCATGGAGCGGTGGCGGGACAAGCGCGACGCAATGTGACGACACGGGCAACTACCCGACCCCAGCTTCTTACCCAGACCAGCGGGGGGGCCTATCAGAATATGGCAACCTTTTTGGCACCAGATCCACATCGCATATTTCACATTCGACCCACGGTGTTCCTGACAAATCTCGTGAGGATTTTTGGACTCCCGAAGGGACTGCAATGTGGACCCAAATCTTCCGAACAATCATTTTCTGACTGCCTTTCGGGACATGTTCGGATCCCTATCGCAGGACTCCGAAGAACCATTTCTGCATGAAGGCGTACACCTCTGGCCACAGCCAGACCTTGTTCCCGATCCTCCTGAACCTCCTCATCGTCTCCATTCCCTTTCTTGTGGAGGTGATACAGAGGGTTTGGGCAACGCTACCGCTTCCGACAATATTACAGCGACAAATTCTTCTAAGACAGACTTTGGCTATCAGCGGTGGTCATCAGCGGCCGGGAACCTTGACTGGTGGCTATCACAGGAGTCCGCCTACGTATCACATCCTTGAGGCCACGGCCTCCACGCCATGCCCTGATGCACACGGGCGGGCTCCCCGGAGGAGCGCGCACGACTCCAGCGTTCACATTGCTTCGCTTCGCCTGCTCGACTTGGCCGCTTGGGCCCGCCTTCCCAACCCGTCTGTCTGTGCCACGTGTTTTCTGCTCCTAGACCCCTCACCTGCTACTCTCTCTCTTGCTCCATCCTCCTCCCTCCCCTTGTCCCTTCCTTCCATCCGTCCTCCCTTCCACTGCCTTCGGGATGCAAGAAATACACGGTGCAGGCAAGAAAGATCCCAAGGGACGAAAAGGGCGGGTATCGAGGGTTCGGGATATACGTGTTGAATGGCCCGCGAGACGACCTGGGAGAACTCTTGGGGTCTCCTGTGAGCTTCCTGGGAGCCTCTTGGAAGCACCTCGGGGGCCTCTTTGGGCCTCTTGCGGGCCTTGGGGGACTTCTTAAGGGCCTCATTGCCCGTCTTAGGGCATTCCTGGCCCGTCTGCCGCCGTCGGAAGCCGCCTTAGGGGGCCTCTCTGGGCCGACTTGGGGCTGTCTCGGGGTGCTCCAGGGCCGTCTTGGAGGCCATCTTGGGCGTCTTGGGAGCCATCTTGGGCGTCTTGGGGCCCTCTTTGGGCCGTCTTGGGCGCGTTTTGGGGCGCTCTGGGGCCATCCTGGACGCCTGTTTGGCGATCTTGAGACGATCTTTGGGGGCTCTTGGGCCGTCTCGGGCCATCGGAAGACCGAAGAACAGAACATGCCATCATCCTTCAAACATATGGGAACGCCATGATTTTGGCCTCTTCGGGCCTTCCTGGAGGCCCTCTCGGGGACCTCTTGGGCCGTCTTTGAGACATGTTGGGGGCCTCTTGGGGCGTCTTGGGCCATCTTGGAGCCATCTTACGCTCGGCCACATGGGCGATCCCAACAGGCAGGGAGCGGCGGTAATTCGCCGTAGGCGTCTTCGATACGTGTCACATTGTGCACAACTGGACATCCGTAAATGGCGGGCTCCGGAAACCCTGAACCACCCAATATTGTCATCTCGTAGGATGCAATGTCTCACTTGCGCCAGCTTCCACTGGCGGAGCCGCCCTCGTTCTACTTCTGCCGCCCTTCCGCTGAGAAAGAGATATCGACTTCTTCGATCCTCGAAGGCGAGGCCCTTCCTTGAACGCATCAAACGGCGAACTTAAAGAAGATACGGCCAGACAGGATACGACGTATAACAGTTACGAGCACATACCAAACATGAAACACTATCGTACACACAAAACATAATGAGCATCCATGACGACCGCTATATAATCACACGCGACAGACGCCGAAACCACTAGCAGCAGCCCCCTTGTGCGGATCGCCCGAGGCAGAATGATCTCGCCATGGGTCGTTAAGTCTCTGATTGTCCCCAGAGGCCAGAAAATGCCCAGATATCGACCCCCGTGGTTCTGCCTCACGATGGGGCAGGGAAAAGGCTCCCCACAAGCCTGCATCCTGCCCAAACGCCAGGAACCATCGTCCCTATGTCACCGATCCTCCTCCTGCTACTCCTCCAGAGGGCCGCGTCTCTACGAGGTCCCCGGATGTCTCAAGAGGTCCATGGAAGCTTGTGAAGGCTCCCAAGAGGGCGGGAGACAAAAAAGACCCTCAATCATCGATCATGGAACCTCGATCATCGGCACTAGATCCAAAGATGAAGAACCCCCGATCGCCGCCGTCACTGCGTTCGCAAAGCCCCACTTCGTGTGCGCCGAGGGGAGGGGGGGCTGGCGCATCATCATGGTCCGAGGCACATGCGCGGACGAGAAGGGCCAGGCGGCATCCCGACAGAAGGTCGAGGGAACCGTTACGTCTGGGAGATGCCTCACAACCCTGGCCATGATGGCAACCCACACGCACACATGTCCTCGCAACCCCTTGTCGGGCGCACGCCAACATCGGGAATGGACAGACCCCCCTTTAGCAAAACGTGGTTCAGTGAAAACGACCTGAGGCCCAAACCTGGCGGGCGCAAGCGCGGAAAACAGCGGCCACGGCGCCCTCTCGAGAGCCGAAAACGGACAATTCACTAATCGACGTGTCTCTGCTGGGGGTTCTGCCCACCCCCGACAACAGGGCCTACGGATCCGTGGATCCGGCGCGCGGAAGACGGACCTCCACAAGGTCGGGGGGGGGGGGGTGCTCCCCGACGCACGGGGCCACTGCCGCCCGATGCCCGGAGACGGAGCGCGCCGAGCCCGCCGTGGGCACGGCATCTGCGCGCCCCAGTGGACGTCTGCGCCTCCGCGACTCGCTGGGCGCTCCCAAGCACTTACCGGCCTCGAACGTATGCCTATCCCTAAGATTGACACGCCCAAAGGCGAGGACAATCTTAGGGATCCGCCCTCAAAAAATAAGGGAATCCCTGAGATTGGCATCGTGATGAGGAGGTGCCCAACATAGGGATAGGGAAATGTTCCAGGCTGGTAAGACACCTCCCCACGCCGGTCGCGTGGCGCCGATCCAGCAAGTGTGAGCTCAGAACCAGCAGCCGCCGCTGCTTGAGACACGGCCGCGTGCCCCGAGTTAGCCACGCCCGCGGAGACGCCGACAGCGACTCCTGAACAGAACGACAGACAAATCCTGCTGGTCTTCGTTCGGCTGCACGCAAAGACTGACCCTGGGCAAGAGTGGCCTTTGGTGGGCGGCTTTTGGGGGGCGCGATGGGGCCAAACGCAAGCGCGCAAGACGCCACCGACCGCACCACGCTCGGCGATCGGGGGACCCCAGTCAGCCCGCACCAGAAGGTCACTCCGGCGAAGGGTCACTCTTACGTGTAGTCGATTCGTCCCCACTCGTTCGCACTCGTCCCTGTCCTCCACGCCCAGCGTGTCGGGCGGGTGATCTGGGGGGTTGTCCTGAACGAGTGGCGAAGAAGGGGGCCCTCGAGGGGCCCATTGGGATCCCTTTTGGAGCCAGCAAGGGTCCCAAAAGGAAACCCGAAGGGTCCCTCCAGAGCCTTCGTTTTTCACCCCCTATGCAGGTCCCCCCATTGACTGACTGCCTACCAGACCACCCAAACCCAACCAGAAGAACCGAATGTCGGGTTGCGGGGGGGGGGTACGGGCTTCATGCGTGTTTCTCCTGAATGCTCCCAGACCCCCCCCCCCTTTGGAAATGGAGGGCCAATCGGGGGCTTCGGGCTGGCTGGGCTGGGGTGGTTTGGTGTGCGGTGATTAGCACCCGCCCGAGGGTGGGAAGAACTCGGGGATCGGCTACCCCGGGTGAATCAGACCCAGGTCGGCAGGAAACCAAAAACTGAAATGCAGGGGGAACAAAAAAACTGCAACGCAGGTCTTCGCAAACCCGGGTCAGCCAATATGCGCGGCCGCCTCGCGGCTCCTTAACCCGGGCCAGCCAGAGAGGGTCTTCGAAGGATCCTGCAGGATCCAGTGCCCTGGCTAACCCCCGTTTGCAGTGACCCCCGTCTCTTGAGCCCCGAAAGAACGGGCGGGGGGTTGTCCGGTCCTCGGTGCGCTCCTCGAGCGCCCTGGCCCGGAGCTCCTGAGCGAGGGGGGTGCGGCGAAGGCGCCGAGGGCGGCGCGCAGGAGCGGCGACCACCTGCGACAGTAAAGGGCGGCGGCGGCGTCGGCGGAGGCGGCGGGGGACGACGAGGGAAGACGGCGGGATCGAGAGGGAGGAGGGCAAGGAAGAGGAGGACGAGGAGGAGGAGGAGGAGGAGGAGGATCTGTTTGAAGGAGAGGAGGAGGGGCACGAGGAAGACGACGACAACCAGACGAAGACGACGACAACCAGACGACGACAACCAGACGACGACGGCGACGACGACGACGACGACTAGGACGACGACGAAGACTAAGACGACGACGGCGACGACCAGAGACGACACTGGTGACGACACGGCGCTCGCCTGGCGGCGCTGCTCGTCGGAGAGCACTGCAGTGAAGTCGGAGCACTTGCCGATCTCGAGGAGCACCTCGAAGGCGAGGGCGAAGACACGATCAAGACGGCAAAAAAGGGCGAAGGAAAACTATGGGGAGGAGAAAGATATCATCCGGAAGAGGAGACGACTGAAGGAGGAGGAGGAGGAGGAGCAGGAGTGGGAATGAGCAGGGTTCCCCAGCCCCCTCGAGGGTTTTAAACAAACCAACGACGACAACCGAGGAATTTGAAGCGTTGGGCAGCTACAGCTTCGCTTCGGATCGAACCACAGGGCTTGGTCCAGCTTCAGCCGATCTCGTGATCGTCGTCGTCGTCGTTCTCGTGGTCGTCGTGGTCGTCGTGATCGTCGTCGTCGTCGTCGTGGTCGTCGTCGTCGTGGTCGTCGTGGTCGGCGTCGTCGTCGACGTCGTCGTGGTCGTGGCCGTCAGTGTCGTCGTCGTCGTCGTCGTCGTCGTCGTGGCCGTCGTCGTCGTCGTCGTGGCCGTCGTCGTCGTCGTCGTCGTCGTCGTCGCCGTCGTCGTCGTCGTCCTTGTGCGCTCCCCGTCGGGAACTGGGCCTGGCCAGCCACCTTCCCAAAGGACCCGACCCCAGCCAGTTCTCGCCCACCGTTCGGCCACCCGCCTGCGGGCCCCGCACGGGGCGGGCGGCTGCAGGCGCTGGCCTCTTTTTCGGCAGATGCAGCTCTGCCGTCGGCGCCGGTCGCCCGCCGCCCAACAAAAAATACCAGATTTGGCCTCCAAGGTTCTTGCGTCATTGCCACCCGTCCTTACACTCGTCTTGACTGTCTTACCCAAAGAGTTCGGGACAGGTCTAGCCCTCCCTCTCCTCCTCCGCCTCCTCCTCCTCCACCCCCCCTCCTCCTCATCATCATCCGCCAGCTCCTCCTCCTCCTCCTCCTCCTCCCCTCCTCCTCCTCCTCCTCCTCCTCCTCCTCTTCCTCCTCTTCCTCCTCCTCCTCCTCCTCCTCGCCTCCTCCTCTCCTCCCCTCCTCCTTCTCCTCATCCCCCTCCCCCTCCTCTCCTCCTCCTTCTCCTTCTCTTTTTCTACCTTTTCCGCCTTATCCTCCTTTTCCTCCTCCTCCTCCTCCTCCTCCTCCTCCTCCTGGGCCCAGGTCCCCAGAGGGAGGGCTTGGCCTGGCTGCGGCCACACAGCGTGACAGAACTGCCACCAGACTTGGAATCGCATGGGAGTCTGAGGTGGCCCAGCACTGGTTCCGGCCAGCAAGAAAGGCGGGCAGTGGTGGGCTTGCTTTCCACAGCAACCACCATAAGTACGGCAGGTTCGTGTCGTGCCGACCCCAGCGTTGGTTTTTGACACCGCAGGGATCGTTCAAGCTTGAACGATCGGCCGCTGCCGCAACGTCCGATCGTTCAACATCGATCGATTCTGGGTCGCCGGCGGCGTTCAACCTTGAACGCCCGCGCTGGGGTCGCCGCTGGTCGACACGACGCAAACCTACCGTAGGAGGGGGAGGGGGTCCTTCCACTCCTCCTCCTCCTCCTCCTCCTCCACTCCTCCTCCTCCTCCTCCTCCTCCTTTTCCACATCCACCTCAATCTCCACATCCTTCCCCCCTTCAACTGATGGTGGCGGTGGTGGAGAGCATGCCCATCAGGCAGGTTCGAGGTGCTGGGTTCCGAAAGGCTTCTTGCCAATTTCTGCGGGGGCCATCTTCGGACTGCGGGACAGTGAACAATCGAGCTGGGGCAGAAAACTACACCAGGTGGACCCCGGCAGGGATCCTGGGACCGATTTCGAACAGAGTTGTCCTCATCCCCCCTCCTGGCCGATTTTGTGGGGCCCCAAGCAGTTCAGACCACCCTGCCGTCTCCAACACCAGACCCCCCGCCGCAGGAGCTACGATTTTCCCGCGGGGGGGGGGGGGGGCGAAGAAGTTTTTTCTTTCTGCCAGGGAGAAGGAGAAGGAGAGCACGGGACGACGGGCGCATGAGACGGACCAGGAACAGGAGTGACCAGAAGTGACCATGAAAGGACAAGCGTCCGCAAAACAAAACGGGTTGGGCGGGGACTAATCCGAAGATGAGTCCCCGCCATCACGGCGAGGGATCCTGGTGGGTCGTCGGGCCGTTCCACCCACACCCCCATCACCGTGAGGCAGCAGAATACTACCCTCCTCCCGAGCCTCCCTCGCACGCTGGACCGCATCCGAAGCTTCCCGCCGCACTCTGGCCAGCAGCACAGCCTTCGGGGGTCCCCTGTGCGAGGGAAAAATGCCTCGACGGATCCTGTCAAGGTTCTGGGCTCCTTTGGGGGAGGGCTCCTGGCAAGGTCTTGCGAGCCACCTACCATCCACAGTGGCGGTGAGCCCGCAACAAACACAAAAATGCAAGGAAAACTCAGGCCAGTAGAAGATTTTGTGGGAAGAGTGGGCCGAGGTGGCCCCAATCAAAATCTCACCAGTTCTCAAGACAAATTGGCTCCACTCCGACTTCTGGCCTCGGACCTCAGGGGCCAGACCTGGACAAGACTGGGCACAAAACTTGAGAAGCTGGGTGGAGGCCACGATCTGACTGCAAACTCTACAACGCCACCTGTTCCCGACCTGCTCACAATCGTGAGAGGTGTCCCTCAGGGCAACGGCCTTCCTGGAGGGGGGGGGCACCCGCACTTTGGCGAGCCTGGTAGCCTGCCAGGGGTCGACCTGGAGTGAGCAGATCAACGCACGTCTGGCCCTGCGCCTGACAAGGTGGGCGATGCAATCATAGATGTCAGTGCTGGGGGCAGGCTGCCGAGTATACTGGAACAAGGCCTCGTCCGCCGCTCCCCCCGCAAGTTCATCCGCGCACATGTTGCCTGCAGTGAGGAAGACTTGCCTCGCACTGAGAGCCTTGCCAGAGTCCTCAAGATGGGCGGCCGTCCACGCGACCTGTACTTCAGCCACCCCCCGATACCGCAACGCCACCGCCACCCTGAACCACAAGTCCTGATTCGGGCCTAACTTGCCGTGGGCACGACCCGCTCTCCAACCATCCAGGACTGGCTGGCAATCAGTGACATAAATGATGGGTCCCGTGGTTTCTTCCAGAGCGATGGCGAGCGCAGCTATCTCCGCGCGCGACACAGCCTGCCGCGGCCCCAGGAGGGGGGACGAAACTCCCGAGACGGGCTCCCAGGAGCCATCCTCAGCTCTCCGAATGAGGGCAACTCCTGAACCACATCGCCTGCGTCTCGGGTCGCTGCTGTATTTGCCCCCTGACCCATCTCCAAAAATGTGGGGAGGGTCCTGGCCAGGGGCAACACAAAACTCACTGAGGCGAGAGGAGCCGTAGTACGTAAGAGGAGGGGCCTCAAGGGGGTCAAGGAAGACGGGGCAGGTGAGGTCTCTCGACGGAACTCCTCTCAGCCATAAAGAAGGGTCTGCTTCCCATTGCGCCGTGGCCTGGGAAGCCAGTGGTTGCGTGCTGCAAAAATCTTGGTGATCAACATTACACACGCATTGCCATATTCTGTGAAACAAGGTCTCAGGGGCCGCCTTGCACCTTGGGCAAGTAACGTCAACCGTGTAGCCACAGTCGACTTGGCGCTGACGTGGCCATTGGCCCCCCGAGGCCACGCACAAGGTGATGCCCCAAAGATCCGACTGGCCCCGAGACTCGAAACGGCGGGGTTCCTGTTGCAGTGGAAGGAGGTCGGCTCCTTCTTTCAAACTGTCGCCTGCCTCGTGCCCAGCAGCACCTTGCCACAACTTGGCCTTCATGTCAGAAACGAACTCATGCAACAGGTCTGCGTGGTCAGCCATCGGGAGTAAATCAAAGTCTGGGTCGCCCATCCGTGGGAACCTCCACGCATGCTCCGCATGCTCAGGTCGTTCCCACAGGTCAGGTTCCCTGGGCTCCCATCCTGCTTCAATAAGGGTGGCCTGGACTGCAGCTATGGGCCCCCGAATGCCTCTCCACCTTTTGGCACCAAGCGAATCGAGCTGCGACCGAACGATACCCCACGACCGTCGAATACGAGGTTGGAGGGCAGGGAAGCGCTTCCACAGCTGCAGCCAGGCGTCCACCAATTGGCGGCGCAGCTCCAGGGCGGGATCTCCATCCCCCAGCACAGTCTGCAGAACAGTGGTTAAACATTTGCCCTTACCCATTCCCGAGACCGTGCGAGCAGCTTGTCGCCTCAGAAGCAAGACCTGACTCGGTGGCATACCATAAACTTGATGGCCAAAGCTGGCCTGTGGTAAGGCTCCCGTGCGCCAAGCGCCCTGGGTGACTTTCCTCAAACCAGCCAGCCTGCGCATCTTCACAATCCTAGAAAAGCGGCCACTGGCTTTAGCCATTCTCTGGCGTGCCTTCTTCCTAGTCCGAAAGCGACCTGCCGCAGTGTCAACGCCTAAATCAACTCCTACAGAAGCGAACTTAGCGGGCATCCCTCGGGCTCTGAAAATTCTGGCTATGCGCTTCCCAAGCTCAGGAGAGGACGCCAAGACAACCGTTTTGTCCGAGACCGTGAGCCTCTTGAGTCTGAATCCCTCCGAGAAAGCTTCAGCTAAACCTTCCATCTCCGAAACAACAGTGGCCTGGGTGCCCTCAGATCTTGCCACAGTGTCATCGACAAAGGTCCATAACGAGGCCTGTGGGGCTCTAGCGTGCGCAGCTTCCAGAACAGAATGCAAGAACACTTTTCCAAGGCAGACTCCATGCGAAGATCCAGCCACAATCGAGCGGCCAGGGCAGAACGGCTCGCTGATGACCGAGCCCTCCTTGAGGATGCGCGGCGCCATGAAGAGCAGGATCTCCATGAGCAGCACCGTGGGAGGGAAGTTGAGCCCCCGCGCCGCAACCACCAGGAGGGTGAATGAGATGGAGTCGTAGAACTTGGCTATGTCCAGCAGTACAGTCGCCGTTGCCTTGCCTGCAGTAGCAGAGGCCTCGTCCATGAGGCTTCTCGTCATAGCAGCTCTCAGGGCGCTGCTGCCCCTGATGGCTGTGTCCCAGAAGGCCGAAAGTCCATCCGACCAACTGGAGGTGACCGAACTGCGCGCCTGGCTCCAAGTCTTGCAACATTGCGGCAACAT